TGATCCTTGAGGTCCCCTCCAACCCAGGTCATTCTGTGATTCTGTGATCACACTCAGATACTCTCTAGTCTAACCGCTTGTGAACTGAATTCCTCATCCACTTGTCTGATCTGACAATCTGCAGTAATGCAGTTCAAATGTAAATGCTGTGTTTCAGCTCATAAGATTTTGCACCCATTGTGGTAAAAATAAAGGCAAGGTGGGATTCAGACAATAATGGAGAACAACAAAGCACCTAATATGTTATTGTTTTGATTAGTACCCATTGTACATACCTTTAAAGCTTCATTTAGCTAGGTCCTGCATGTGCCTGGAACTTTTGGGGACTTACTCAAGCCTGTTAAAAGAAGTGCCAACAAGACATCTTGACTGCATGCTTTAGGTAACAAATGGAAGAATTACTAAAGACATCACAGTGACTGGATAAGCAAACAAAACATGCTATAGCATGGAAGAGTTTTCAGCTGCTAGCATTCTGTTCAGTTATTTCAAACATTCTGTCATTCCTCTTCTGCAAAGTGTTTTTGTGTGAGTGAAACAAGGTACAATGTTTTACTTAACATTTAATTGCATCTCTGAATTGTTTCCTTGATCTTTTTCTGGAATAGGTATTTTATTAACTAAATATATGCGAAGTGTTAAAGTGTACAGAAATCTTATCAACAAGCAGGATTAAAATTTGTTCCTTTTCCCAGCATAGGTGGACTTGTTGCGTTCTGCCATGGTCATGTGGACAGGTCTCAGCAACTAGAGAATGCCTGTTTTATAAATGATCATTTGCAGCTGGCAGCCCATGGCTTCAACGGGTATGCCCTCTGCTGGATAAAAAACTGGCTGGAGGACCAAGCCCAGAGAGCAGGAGTGGATGGAGTTTAAATCCAGCAGGTGACCGGTCATGAGTGGTGCTCCCCAGGGATCAGTCTTGGGGTCTGTCCTGTTTAATATCTTTATGGATGATCTGAACAAAGGGATTCAGTGCACCCTCAGTAAGTATGCAGGTTACACTGAGTTGTCTCCACAAGTGACGATACGCCTGAAGGTAGGAAGGCCTGACAGGCTGGATTACTGGGCTGAGGCCAATGGGATGAAGTTCAACATGACCAAGAGCTGGGTCCTGCACTTTAGCCATAACAACTTCCACACATCACTACAGGCTTGGGGCAGAGTGGCTGGAAGGCTGCAGGGAGGAAAAGGATCCCGGGTCGTTAGTTGACAGCTGGCTAATCATGAGCCAGGAGTGCACCCAGGTGGCCAAGAAGGCCCATGGCATCCTGGTTTGTATCAGAAATGGTGCAACCAGCAGGAGCAAGGAGGTGACTGTCCCCCTGTACTCAGCTCTGGTGAGGCCGCACCTCAGGTACCGTGTACAGTTTTGGGCCCCTCACTATAAGACATTGAGGCCCTGGAGTGTGTCCAGAGAAGGGCAACGAAACTGGTGAGAGGCCTGGAACAGAAGTCAATGGGGAGCGGCTGAGAGAACTGGGATTGTTTGGTCTGGAGAAGAGGAGGCTCAGGGGAGACCTTATTGCTCTCTGGAAGGAGGTTGTGGTGAGGTGGAGTTTGGCCTCTTCTGCCAGGTAACTGCAATAGGACGAGAAGTAATGGGCTCAAGTAGCACCAGGGGAGGCTTAGGTTGAATATTAGGAATTTTTGATTCTCAGTAGTGAGGCATTTGCACAGGCTGCCGAGGGAGGTGGCGGAGTCAGCGTTCAAGAAAGGTGGAGATGCGGCAATGACGGAGGGGTTATTGAGCGTGTTGGGGACAGCTCGACGGCCGCACTTGCTATCGACACGACCGGCAAGCCGCCCTGGCGCCGACCCACGGGGACACCGCCCCTCCCCTCAGTCCTCAGCTGGGCGCGGCCATCGGGAGCGGCGCACGCCGCCCGCTGGGCCCCGCCCGCGCCTGCGCAGAGAGGCGCGGAGAGGCTCCCCCGCCCGCGATGGAGGTGGTGCTGGCCGACGCGCTGCTCGCCCGCGGCGGGGATCCCGGCGAGCTGCTGCGGGCCGTGTGCGCGCCGCTCTCCGCCGATCGCGCGGAGGCGCTGCGCCTCCTGCTCCAGCGCCTGGCCGCCGGCGGGCCGCGGGGCGAGGCGGAAGGCGAGGCGCTGCGGCGGGCCGCCTGGGAGGTGGCGCTGGAGCGGTGCCGGCCGCTGCTGCGCCTCGGGGAGGGGGCGGCGGGCGGCGCGGAGCGGCTGCGGCTGGGTCGGGCGGCGCGGGGCGCGCTGCGGCACTGCGTGCAGCTGTGCGGGGCGCCGCTGGCCGCCCGTCTCGCCCGCGACGCGCTGGCCGAGCTGGCGGGCGGCGGGCCGGGCGCGGAGGCGGCGGTGGAAGCGCTGGCGGCGGCGGCGCCGCGGCTGGAGGAGCCGGCGCTGGTGGCGCGCTGCGCGGCGGTCGCGCTGGCGCTGGTGCGAGAGGAGGGCGAAGGCGAGGCGGCGGCCGCGCTGGTGGCCGGGCGGCTGCTGCCGGCGCTGGGCGGCAACGCGCCGGCGCTGGGACGCGTGTGGGACGGGCTGCTGGGCGGCGGGCCGGCGCCGCGGGCCGGGCGGGCGCTACTGGCGCTGAGCGCGCTGGCCGACGCGCTGCTGCCGCCGCGGGGCCCGGGGGCGGCGGCGGACGCGCGGCTGTGTCCTCGCTTCTGGAGGCTGGTGCAGGAGGGGCTGACCGAGCGGGACGGGCTGTGCCGGAAGAGGGCCCGCTACCTGCTGAAGCGCGCCGTGGACCTCAGCGGCGGTCAGGCCGCCTGCCTGCGCTGCCCTACGGACGGCCCGGACGGTACGGCCTCGCGTCGCGTTCGGCGTCTGTGCGAGCCGGCAGTATGGGGCCTTCTCCCTCTCTGAGGGGGGCGAGGGGCGGCTGGCAGGGCCGGGCCCTAAGGTCGTGTCGGTGTGGAAGAGCAGGACGTCCTCCCGTGCCCCTGTTGCAGAACTAGCACGACTTCAGAAGGGTCGGAGTGCTTAATGGGGTGCTTAAGACCTGCACCGACTTTAATCATTGTCATAGAGTGGTTGGGCTGGGTCGGGTGAGTCCCGGACCCTGGTTTGTGTTGGACTGATGGGATTGTGGACTCGTAAGGTCGTTTGAGTTGGAAAGGAACTTCTAAGACCACCTCGTCCAACTGCCCTGCAGTGAATGAGGACCCCTACAGCTAGGTCAGGGTGCTCAGAGTCCCCTCCAGCCTGACCTTGGATGTTCCAGGGCTGGAACATCCACCACCTCTCTGAGCAACCGGTGCCAGTGTCTCACCACCCTCACTGTAAAAAGCTCTGTATCCAACCCAGATCTCCACTCTTTTAGTTTGAAGCCATTTCCCCTTGTCCTGTCAGAACAGACCTTGCTAAAGAGGCTGTCCCCTTCTTATAGCCCCCATTTAGATACTGAAGGACTGCTCTCAGCCCTCCCTGGAGCCTTCTCTTCTCTGAAGTCAGGCTGAACAGCCCCAGCTCTCTCATCCTCTCTGTGAAGGGGAAGTGTTCCATCCCTTGGATCATTTTTGTAACCCTCCTCTAATACACCTCAGGGTGCTGAGGCATGCTGTGTCCTGCTTGTTCTCAGCCTGCAAGACCACTTGGATATGTTCTACCAGTCACATGGGAGTTAACACCAAAGGCTTGGGGGCTTGTAGAATTTGTTGTGGTGGCCTCACTCATTTATAACTTAATTCTGTAGAAACTGAAGCTTCTGGGGTGAAGAAAGGCTCTCTTTCCATCTTAGGATGTTGTATTTAATCTTTTGCGGGATGGATTCCAAAGGAACTGTGCCTGAATACATGTTTTTGTTGCTTTTAGAATCAAGTCTGTTTTGGTGGTCTGCTGAGGAGAATGAGAAACTCCTGCAGTTCTGGGAAACTTACATTTTGATCATGGAAACTTTGGAAGGAAACCAGGTGAGGATGCCTCAGAACCTGTGCTTAACCATAGTTTGTGTGTGATATGTTTCTTTTGGCACGTATAGTATAGGTTTTCTTTGATTTTGTTGTTGTTGTTTTTTTTAAATATTTAATGGAAGGTATCTGAACGTTAACGGGCCTCTTTTAATTTTGAGTATCTGAAATACAGTAAGTGTGATTCATTTAGAGGAAAATTCTGAATTTATTCCATCTGTGAAAGAATTCTGATTAAAGCTCTGAACTGTAAGTTGTTTCAGGACCATGGCTAACCTGTTCCATTGTGCAAATCAGGCAGCTGCACTTGATAACTTCTTTTCAGTAGAGGGCACTACATCTCTGTGGTAAACTGCTTTGTGAAGTTGGACAGAAGTATTTCTGCTCTTGACTCAGAGTCTAGTTTACAGGATAGAAAGAGGCCTCTGCAGTTGTGTGATGTTACAGCAATAGGCAGTTGTTACCACCTCTTTGTAGCTTACTTATTTTACACTATTTATTATTTTCCTGTAGCTGAGTGAAATTGTATTTATCAAAATGTTTGTCTGTAGAGTTTTGTGCTCTTCTATTTGAAACCGTCATATTATAATTTGGTGAATGGGATAGTTGTTTGTTGGGAAGTCTTGTTTGGGTGATACAGTAGCGGGGATGTGTCAATTCCACTTAAGTAAGTGGCAGACTGTAATTCTGTGCTATGTACCAGCCCTGGGATCAGTTACACAGGTATTGTTTATATTGTCAATTGCTGTGTTAGTGTATTGATAGTAAATTCCACCCCATGACTAAGTGCTGATTCTTAGGTTTGAGTAATAAAACAGACTACTTATCTGATTTACATTTCAGATCCATGTCATAAAGCCAGTATTACCTAAACTAAACAGTTTATATGAGCTTGCTATATCAGGAGAAGAAGGTAAGACATCATTTTCTGAAACATCTCATAAACGTTTGGCAATTAAGTCTCATTTTTTTCTTTGATGTTATTATAACAGCACTTTGCTAAGTTTTATAGGCAGTGCTTTTCTGCTCTGTGCTGCAACAAGAAATCCTACCATATGACAAAATTGCATATTAATTCCTCATGCCACTAAACCTAATTAAGATGTCCTTTCCTGCTGTATTTTGCTTTACTTGAGCTAGTGTGAAAAGAAAAAAATCAGGAATTCTTAAGGTAGATCTTACAAGTCACCTGTACAACTCTGTAGGAAAAGGAGGGGGGAAAGAAAGCCTCAGTGGAAGAGGAAAGAGAAGGGATAAAAGGAGCCAGTGATGCAGTGGGATTTGCTACAGGGCAAAATGGGGCTAGTCTAATTAGTGCAAGGTGGTGGAAGTTAAAGTTCCCAGACTTCTAAAGTAGAACAGTGGCAGATAAGAAAGTGTTGCAGGCAAGTACAATATTTGGACAAGAAGACTTGCAATAAAAAGGACATGGTGTCTTCTGTTTTGTAGTCATTTTCATTTGTGACTGAAGCTTGGAATAAATTTTGGGAATTGTGCTAATATATTTTTTGCATAAGGGATTTAGTAAGGCATTTTTATAAATCTAATAGATGTCTTTTTGAAATCCGTTGTGTGTTATCCAGAATGTCAATATGTTGTGTATTTAATACACTTCCTTAAAACATGGAGTTGGCTAAGGAGTATGTTGGTACGTCACTGCCATTTCTATGTTAATTTAGAAGAATTTGCTATTGTAACAGGTTGTTGGTTGTTTCACCCATCGTGGCACATGTGCATCTATAAAAGAATGTTTGAGAGTGAGAATAAATCATTGACAAAGGAAGGGGTTCTTCATTTTTTGGAGCTTTATGAAACAAAGCATCTTCCAAATTCACTTGGTTTTTCAGAGGTAAGAGGCTTGGTATTACTTGCCAGATTAAGCAGATGTTCTAACCTGTAATTTGTTGTAAGACCAGTTGCCTCAGTAGCTTTACAATTAAATACATTCTGTATAAATACTCTCTTATGTATCCGTGTGAATAACAGCAATATTTTTAATTGCTATCAAATATAATATCACTTGTTAAATGGCTTGACTAGAGGGGAGTGCATTTTTATGTGCAGTCATTCATTCACGTTTCAGACTAATGTTCTCTAAAGTTACCATTGTATTGAAACTTTTATCAGAAGTTAAATTAGCAGGAGAAGGATTGATGCTTCAGATTTCCACAGACTCTGGCTCTCCTCAAAATTATTGATCATCATTAATTGGCTGAACAGAATAAAAAGTGAACTTCATCAAGTCTGTGCACAGCATCTTCTACTTAAGGATTCTGGCTCTCTGTCTCTACTTTTAAAATGAAATGAAGTAATCCTAGTTTGTCTCTATCTACTGGTGCTTTGCAAGTATACATTTAGCCACTGTTGTTCTTCTTTTATCAGTTTGTTATTGGACCATTAATGGATGCCCTCTCAGAAAGTTCCCTTTATAGTAGGTAAGCCACTGATTATTAAATGCAGTGTTTATTGGAATTGTCCTAATAATACTCACTTCAGCATGTTAGCAAAATCTTGGGTAAAGAAAAACACATTAATAAATAAATGGTGTTTACTAAACTCATGGGTAAAGAATTTCTCAGGAAAGATGAGTGGCTGTAAGATGAAGCAGGTTCAATTTCAGCAACATAGGGTTGCCATAAAGTCCCAGTTAACACCTGGGAATCAAGTGAGACATGGTAAATGACTGGAATGGCTATCTTTTATTTTTCTTAAATCACGTTCAGAAGGTGTTGCAAATTCATAACTGATAGATTTTTTTCCAAACTACAGCAGATTATTTGAGGTCAGGGGATGACAGTGACCTCCTTTGGTATAAATATGTAAAAAAAAAAAAACACATGAAAGCTGGAGGGGTTCTGAATTGTGATACATTCAGTTTACTGATGGCCTTAAATTCTGTGTGTTAGTTACAGGGGGGTGCTGAGAATGGGAAATAGCATGCTGAAAGTACTTTTTGCCAGTTGAAATTACTTGGGTGAAGAACAGTCAGCTGGTGATCTAAAATGGTGCTAGGTTAATATATGAGTCTTCTGTCTTAGCTTCTGCAGTTCTGGTGAAGCATATGTTGGGATATTTCTGAAAGTAGAGGAGAAGTACGTGTTTGATTTTACCAGGAATATACAAAGCTGTTTGGGTTAATGCCAAGCTGTATGAGAGAAAACTGTAGAATTTTGTGATTGCCTTCTGCTAGTCCTTGGTGGGCAGGTTTTTGAGGCTTTATGTGTGCTTTATCTCTGTTTCTCTCATAGAAAATTTCTTGCGTCTTTTCTCAAAACTTTTTGTGCTGGTCAGTAGTTTTGTTTATGCTCCACGCAGGAGGGAAATCCCTTCTGTCTTGTGCTGTTGTGGAGATAATTTGTCTTCACTGTTCTCCAGATCAGACCATTCTCATCCTCGCTACAAGTTGTTCAGAGGATTTTCTGATTTTGTTTCATGGGCCTTGGTAACCTGCTTATCCGAAGACCTGCAGCATATCATATGTACAGGCACAGTGTTGAATCCACAGTGCCATTTCTTAATGTGGGCTTAACACAGGATGATCTCAGCCTTGAGTAACTAGAGGCTGTGCTTGAATGCTTGAGTGTGCTGATATGATACTGTATGTTTGGAGGTGGCCAGGGAGGTTGGCATTTTGGTAACTTTCTCCATCCTCTCTGTATTTGCCAGATGCTGTTGAAACACTGGGCAAAGTGGAGGGAGCAGGATGATGCACTCCATCTCAGTGCCCTATTGGAACAGTCTCTGTAGTGTATTTACCTCTGAGCTGCATTTCATTTTTGTTTAGGGTCAGTCCTACTCGTAGCTGCTAACATGACAGTTGTGTATTTCCTATTTAAAACCCAACAGGACACCAAGTCAGCTAATGGGAGCCTGTCCTCCTTTGGGAATGAGGCTTCAGAAATTTTTGGCTACTTATCTGATGCTTCTTCCAGAAGAAGAAAAAGGTATGTTTCATTTTCACCTTCTTTTTTTTTCCTTTTTAGTAAAGAAGTCAAATTAAAACTACAGACCCATTTTCCATATCCCATATGTGCATTTGCCACAGTTTTTCCACATTACTTGAGGGGAAAGAAGTAGTAGTTCTCATTTTGATAGTGGAGTTTCCACTTTTGAAGAGAGAATTCTTCAAAGATTTTGAGGGACTGCTGTAACAAGCTACAAAATTGTTTTAAGGAAAACTGAAGCACGCTTACTTTATTTTATTAGAAGAAAAAAAGATAAACCTCAGTTCTGAAGGTTAACAGCTTTTTGCAGTTTGGATAATGCAGCACTATTCAAAGAAATCTTTAGAACTGACATTCTGTGTTTTTTGGCTTGCTAGGTTGAGTTACCAAAACAAACAATTTGCCAGACCTTTCTGGTCACAATCTGTGTAGTGAGGTGTTCAAAAGAACCAGTCAGAGTGCTAAAGAAGAAGTTGAATAAGGGTTTTTCCATTATGAAGTTGATTTCTGGGACACTAATGTTCTTCCTCTGAGTCCTTTTCATGTAAACGCATTTGAGAGCAGGAAATCACACTTGATTTATTTTGTTTATTTTTATTTTAAGGTGGTTTCCTGTTAAAGTTTATTCAGAAGATGACAAATCGGCATTGGTGTGCTGTTCCCATTTTGTTTCTTTCTATGGCTCTAGCACACATCCCTGCATGTAAAGTACTGGGCACTGATGGACTTCATGCTTTAAGGTAAAATATGAACCACACTTTGTTCTTACAGACTTCTTGTAAGGATATGTACTGAACACCTACAACCAGAATTTAATTCATCTCTTACTTCTGGGATGATCTGGTTGTCCATGATAATGGAAAATTCCACTTCCTTTATGTCTAATTCACGAAGATTGTAATTGATGAACTAAGTATTCATACCACAGGGTGACTTGTGTAATGGTAGGTGAGGCTATAAAGGCAGCCCACAAAATTGAAGTCTGAAAGACCTGTAAATAAAAGGCTAGCTAAAGTTCTTAGCACACACCTTGTTCTTTATATCTACTGATGTTTAAGTGCTTTTGTTTGTTTTCAAGACCTGCTAAAAGTCAGTGATTACTCCAGTCTAAATGAATTTAAACTTTGAAATAAAACTTTACTGTAGCCTAAGGAATATTGATTAAAAGTAGTTTACAAAGAACAAAGTCAAGACCTATCTGCTAATGAGAGCAGTGGATTTCCTTCTTTCGCTGCTAGTTTAAGAATTTGATTGCATATTTATTTTGTATCTCCAACAGATAAATAAACACAAACAATTATCAGTTTGAACTGATGTGACCATAGAGATTCTTTGTTTCAGGTTGCCCAAATCAGACAACATGCCATGATTGTCTTATATCTAGTAGAATGTGTTGCTAAATACAATCTAATATATTGAAAATAGTAATTAGCAAGTATAAGATGCTTCTGAACATCCTCGATGCTTTGTTCTACATATTTTTACATGTTTTTCCTATTTGCAGAGATGTCCTCCAGTGTACCATGATTACACATCAGATTTTGTTGCGTGGAGCTGCTCAGTGCTATCTTCTTCAAACAGCCATGCATTTGACAGATGTGGTGAGGTTTTGTTTTTGTTTTGCTTTTTTTTTTCTTCCTGATGTAGTAGAAATGCATCAATGCTTCTTCTGGTTAAACAGTGTATAACAAAATTCCTAGACAGAACATAGAACAATTGATTTTACAGGATTTGCAATTTTTTTTAGCAACTACTTAAATCATGAAATCATTTGAGTTGGATGAGATTTCTTTTAAAAGTCATCTACTCCAACTCTCCTGAAGTGAACAGGGATACCTACAGCTGGATCAGGTTGCTCAGAGTCCTGTCTGGCCTGACCTTGAATGTCTCCTGGGACATCCACCTCCTGTCTGGGCAGCCTGTTCCAGTGCTTCATTACCCTTATCATTAAAAAAAAAAAAAAAAAGTACTTACATATGGCTAAGCTTCTGTTGACTTTAATTTTCATAAGGTGAGGGGTTTCTTTATTACTTGTTTATTTATTTAATATAATAATTATTATAATATATATATATTATATATATAAAATATAATTATTTGTTGCTATTTTCTTGTAGTATTTTCATGCACTGTTTATAAAACAGTACCCTACTATAACATACACTGTATAAACTATGATTTTAACAGTTATGAATGTTCATTTAGTTCCTAAATACCTAAAAGAATAAAAGTATTAATATCAGAATGATAAAGCTGTTGTAAATGTTGAAGTAGCAAGAGCTTTATTCAGTAGATAGATGATCCATGTTGTTATAACATGCTTGCTTAGATGAGTGGACTCTAAGTATTACCCTTCAGTTATGAGCTTCCATGTTGAACAAAACTGTTTTTTCAGAACTAGAGGAAGAGTGCCTAACAGTGACTGATTTATGTCATTAATTTAAAAAGTGCTAATAATGGATAGCACAGTTCTTTTAGCCATTTGATAATTTTCAGGTAGATTTCAGGAAGAGAGGTGTTGAGACTAGATAACCTCTATGGTTCCACCCGCCTCAAACCATTGGATAATTTTAATGCTTGAAGGAACTCAGTTATATTCCTTAATAAGGGTAAGGTTGGCCCCTAAGAGCCAAAAATGAGTCTGTTCAGTGGAAAGATCACTTCTTTTGCAACATTTGTCAGATGAGAGCAACTTCCTGAATCATCAAGTAGATGTTACGCATTGAATAGCTGTCAACATAATGTACAATTTTCATTCATTGTTTCAGGAGAAAGTGTCTCTTCCAGAGGTTGCCAGCTTTCTTTTGTCCCTTAGACCAGAGGAGTCCCTACGGAGAGATACTGCGTTATGGATGGAGGTGAGAACCAAAGCTACTTTTATGTTCACCAAACACTTTTTAATACCTATAGAAATGCATGATTAATTACTGGTTATGTAATATTTAACTAGTTAGCAACATTTGCGTTGGCACATTCTGAACTTTCTGGATGTGGAGTCCTAAGGTTTCGCTTGAAAGCTGATTTTCCTTTAATGCTATAGAAGGGTTAATGTTAACCATACAAAAAAAAATTCAGCAGATTCAAAACTAAAGAATTCTAAGCTGTATCATCACAGCTGTTGAAGGTAATAGGAGGGGAGAAGATGACCTCTCTCTTCTGCAGAATTGAGAACTTCTGCAGGAAGAAAAAGGTCTTTCTTGAGGCAAAGTGTTTAATTTCTTCAGAGCTTCTGTGTACCAACTGGTCTTGTTCTTAATCTTTAGAATATCCAGTATTGCAGTTTTTGCATGTATGCATACCAAAATACATATCAGAATCAGTTCTTACTCAGCCTTTTGGTCTCCAAATACTGGTCCTTTGAGAGACTTCTGTGTCATTGCAGCCCCAGTCTTCTGCCTTTTTTGCCATTACAGTAACAGCTAAAATCGCAGTTGGTAAGCCTGTACCAGTATTTGTAATCTCTCCTGTCAGGGATCCATGCTCTTCTAAATCATTGGTATCATAAAGTAGAATGTGCGAAGCAGGGCATCCATAGAATCCACAGAGCCATGACTTGGACTTTTCTCTCTACTTTTATTAAGGATACCATGTGGGTGTAACATCCACAGCTGAAGCTGTTCTTGGTTATCAGATTCTCCAGGCAGTTATTTCTATATAATATTTACATAAAAGTTATCATCTTTGTGACTACTTTCTTTTCCTCCTCCTTAACTTTGTTTTTGAAAAATTTCATCTGATGGAATGGATTAGAGTGATAGTTTTCTAGTATGGTGCATGTTTATCCTTTCCCTTAGTTCTGAGAGTACTGTTGGAGATGATGTGAGTCCCTGTACGGGCAGTATGTGGGCCAAAAAATGTATGAGCTGCCTCTGATTTGCACTTTGTATGCGAACACAGCTCAGGCAGGAATAAGAGGGTAAGCTCAGAGGGAAGAATATGCCTAGCAAGTAGAGTGGGATTGTGAATTTTGAATTTCTAGGTGTATGTCTATAAGATAACTATGTACATAAGATGCAAATTTCTATGAAAAATTACTCCAAGAAGAAATCATTTTGTATATAGGATATACTCAGTTGCTTCTGGTAATTAGCCATAGCTTTGGCTGGTTGTGCAGCGTTGTTTTATGTGTGCCGTGCAATTCATGCTATCCCACTGATTCTTTTTATATATAGAACAACAATGCAATTTTCATTAGATAACATTTGATGATCAGAAGCCTCTTCTGGGATAAGGGGATTTTACCAGCATTACTTAAATTTCAGAGTTGTTTTTTTCCCTTATGTTGGTACCAATAATCTCCTCTTTCTAGATGCTCTGAATGACTCTATTTCTGTGTGTGGATTGTAGCATGCTGAGCCTTTTGGTAGCTCCAGTGTAGACCTGTTACAGTGTGGATTTGCTGATGTAACAGTTTATATTTCAGTGCTTTAACATACTGCTGTCATCTTGGTGATGTCAGCACAGCACAGAGTCAGCAGATAGAGCTAAATAGCAACATACTGGTTTTAATTTAGCTTTGCAGTTGGCTGCAAGTGAATGACAGATGCTTTGGGAAGTCTGTGTGCTCTGATTTTGAGCATCAGGAGATCTCATCACTGTGTTTGTATGCGAGCAGTCTTGTGAGAGAGTACCTTAAGACTCCTGCATCTGAAGGTAAGTTAAATATTTATTAATATAAAATGGTTTTGATGATAATTAAAAAAAAACATTTTAAAAAGACTTTGGTTTTTAGAAGAGTTATTAGCTTATATTGTACCTATCCAAGTTCTACTCAAGTTGTGACATTTATCATTCTTAAATACCAACTTTATTTTTTTAATCTCATTTTTTCATCATGAAGAATAGTCCTACAGTATTAATTGAAAACTAAGCCTTAATACTCAGTTTTATTGCTGTGGTGATGCTTATCCATTAGATTTCTTTTGTTACTTTTCTGGGGATGCATGAAAATGCTGTAGTGTGGTGGCAGTGGTAAACATAAACAAATCTGGATAGATACCGGTCTGGTAGTCTTGAAAGAAAATCTATGGCATTTGTCAGCAAAATGTAAAATGACCTAATATATTTATGGAGAGAGAATTTGGAATCATGGTTATGCAGTTCATTGCACACCTTCCAGAAGCAGATGAGCTGTGTTTTTTACCAGGGAATATTCTTTGTACTCTGTATAGATACGCAGGTAAATTTTGAAGAGACTTCTTTCCTCACTACCACAGTTTGATTTATTATAACTTCTCTTCATAGTTTTCTTTCAGGTACGTTGAAATGAGTGTCAAATTGACTGGTTTTGAATGCTTTCTAACTTTGTGTGACACTCATTTTGATACTGGCCTACAGAAGACACAAAAGCTAGGTCAGAATTTGCTTATGATAAACAGCTTCAGAAGCTTTACATGGCCTAGAAACTTAATATCTAATCATAAGACAGTGAAGCTGCAAAGAAATTTTGTTGATTAGTTTTCCAGGATAAACCCTTTACTAAAAGATTTTAGCAGATCTTCTCTGCTGCCTGACGTGTTTTAGGGCTTTATCTGTACTATCTGTAATTCCGTGGCATGCATCTGCTTCACTTTTTAAAAGGGGTGTTTTATTTTGATTTGATAAACGAATTTCAGTTTATAAGCAGCTCTATGAAGGGGGAAGGGCCATATTCAGCTGCTTGATCTGAACATTCAAAGTTTGTTTTGCTTTCTGAATTTCTGAAGCCAAAAACCCTGAAGCTACCCTAGGCACTATGTAAGAAGTTATTTGTAAGTACAATTACGTGTTCAATAAGGAAAGTTCAGTTCAGCTTTTTAAAATTTTCTTCTGATATGATAGCTTTAGTTCTTGATATAACTTCTAGCTGGTTAAAATAACAGCTGATGTTTCTGAAGGAAGCATTATGAGATTACTTCTTATTTAACTTCATTGAGTATGCAGTGTTCTTTTAAAAGCAATAGATAAGTGTGTTGGAGTCTGTTACTACAACACATTTTCTAGAATTGATTTTGGCATAGAGGCAAACAGGATCAACTTCTGTGAGTGTAGAAAAGAAAACATTTGTGCTTGAGTTTGTATATAGAAAAAAGAACGCAGAAAATATTCTTGTTAACACTAGTTGCTGTTCTTTTGATAGTTTGTTAAATTAATGTGATGCTATTTTATAAATGCTGTGGAAACCTTAAAATATCTTTGATCAGGAGAAAATTGCTCTATGCCTGACTGGTTTGAAGCTAAGCTTGTTGCAACAATGATTCTGTTGGCTGCTGATGTGGAACGGATGAGGAATAAATCCAGGTAAGTATGAACTACCTTGTCTTACATTTCTCTCTCCTTTTTTGTTATCCCTTGACACTCAAAGGGTCTGATAGAAGTCTGATCAAATCAGGAAATTGTCCTTTTTTCCCTTTTCCCTGTGGACTTTGGGTCAGCTTGACAGTTTGTAGAGCTTGTCCAACTGCAAACATACTGGGTAACGTTTCCATGGATTCTTAAGTGACATAGAAACCTATGGGCTATTTATTTCCGTAAGTGACTTCAGCACTTAAGGCAGATACTCAGAAGAAGACTTTCTTTTTAATTTTTGTTTTTGTGTAGTGGAAAAAGCAACATAAAATGGATTGAACTAGAGGCTTTCTTGAACCCTCTTCTGGATGTCTTGATGAAACTTGGCAGTAATGCTTACATACCAACACTGAAAACAGATAAAAGCCTACAGCTTCTCTTGAAGTTATTGCAGACCCGTTCGTTAAAATGTTCCAATACACAAGATGGTTAGTGATATCTTCAGTATACTGTGTCTTATATTAATTACAGTCTAACTAAAACTAAGATACTTCCATGTTTTAAGACTATTGTCAACTTAATACAAGCCTAGAAGTGGTAAATGTGAAAATCTGACATATCCTTTATGAAATTAGGTTCAGTCCTACAGAGGTTCTTCTGAAGGTGCCCCAGGGACTGGGAATTGAGAATGTGGAACCTTTCTCAAGGAGCACTTGTTATCTATTAAATTAGTTTTGCAGATATCTAAAACGTGGAGAATGAGCCCATGTTGCAAGTATCTATAGGCCTGTTCTTTGCCAGTCTGTGGATTTCACAAATTGGTTAGACAGTTCAAAAGTAAATAAGTTTAGAAACCCAGCCTAGCCTGTTTAGTTACCCCAGGATCAGATGGAGCTTTCCTTGAGCACATAAAATGATCCTGGTGGCCATACTATTTCCATGGTTGACTGGTAGATGCTTCTGCTTCGATTAACGCTATTCAGAATGCAAAAGTTAGGATGTCTGTGATTATTTCACAGTATTTGGTATCATTTTACTTGGCATGCTCAACTGACTTGATTTAGTGTGGTCTTGGTTAAAAGCAGGAAGATGTAGCAGTGCTCACTAAGCACAAGTGTGGTCATTTGACTGTCCAGGAAGTTTGACCTGTGCCAATGGCTGAGCATCTTAACTTGTAGCTATGGACTCCAGCAACTGTGGAGTCCTTACTGCTCCTTCTGATAAAGCTTTGTCAGTTTGTAACCAGAGTTTATCTTCCTGAGAGTGAGGAATTGCAATAGAATTTTCATGGTTAGGGTGCTAAACTTGAACAGGATGAATCTTGGTGTTTTTTTCTTCCTCTCCAGATTATTCTTCAGTGTGTTATTTATAAAATGAAATAGGAGAATATCTTCGGAGCAGTGCCCAAATATCTACAGTCTAATATGGGGAGAAAAATGATTTGGTATTCTGCATCCAGGTTTTGTAAAGATGTTTTAATGCAGACCTGAAGTAAATGCAAAACCTTATTTTAAGTGCTTTATACAGTCACCTCCCTTCCCCCTCCCCTCACAAAAAAAAAAAGCAGCTATTTGAAATGTAGAGTACCAATTATGTGAGTTTTTACAGTTCACATTTTTTAATATTTTATTCTGTAAATCATTTCTTTATCTGCCTCTGTGCTTTCTAAGGTAGGTGCAATCAGTCGCTGCTGCTTTGGAAATTTAGATGCCCAACTTAGTATTTCATGTTCTGCTGCCAGGGTTCTTAAGCTATTACAAGGCTGAACATCGTGGTGTTTGCCTCCTTTTGAGTGCCCCAGGATCAGGAGCCTTTCAAGCTGGACTTGTAATTTTGTGTTAAGATAAACAAGGATTGCTTTTCTTACATCACTTCCTATAATTTTAATGTTTTTCCATCTTGCACAGAAGAGCCAAGTATTAAATCTTGTTTCTTGAGTTGTGAACTATCTGTGCTGGGGGGTGGGATATAATGCTGCAGAATACTGAAGTTTTGCTGCTATGTTGATTAAAAATGATGTGAGCAGTCATGGGAACAAGAAAAAATGGGAGGGAAGAAAAAAGGGATTCTATAAACTTGTAAAACAAAAATAATAACAATTTGAATATTTTTTACTTAGGAATGCTATAATGGGGATAGATACATCCTGAAAGCAGCAACGTTTTTCCAGAGGTCTTAGCATCTATGCAGACTTCACTAATTCTGCTGTTTGCTATCTACTGTTTGTAATAGTGTCAGAGAGCCACTGATAGTGAAATGGATTTTGTTGTATTAAATGTTTATCTGAAGAATTTATGTTTTTAATTGCATAACGCTTTATAATGAGTTGAAGCTTAAATCACTTTTAGAAAAAGTGACGAGGTGTTAATAATGTGACATTTAACCTGCTTGTTTTATACAAATAAAGCATTAGAAATGCAGCCCAATAAGCTATTTTAACATAGAGCATTGAAGGTAAGCTCAGTATTGATTTGGAACTTCTGGAAATGCACCTTGTTACACTTCTGCCTTCTGAAAGATCTGCAAAAATGCTGCTATGTTAAATATAATTCAAGGTCAGCGCCAAAAAGAAACCCAAAACAACAGATGTAACCTCTGAGTAATTCTCCCAAATACAGAAACTAATGACTTCTGTCTTTAGAACAGGACAGTTGTGCAGAGGTTTCTAGCTGCGTGTGCATATTGATACTTCATTTATTTAGCTTTCATTTGCAGCTAGCCCTCACCCCCTGAAACTCAGATTTAAGTATGTGGATACGTATGCTTTACCAGGGGCACCTACTTTCTTTGTGTAATAAACTTGTCTTTTTGTTTGTGAAATGCTTTATTTTACAGTATATTGTGGAGTCCAGCTTTTTCTTAGAGAAAGTATTGCATTTTGTATAATAACCTTCTGAGATGTTAAGCCAAGAGATGAAAATCTTTTAGGGTTAGTCTCTATGCAAATCTCAGTTACTTCTAAACAATTTGAATGCAGACAAAACCCACACCATTTTAACCTCTGTGGGTATTTGAAGGGTATAGCTACATTTTTGTTACAGTGAATTGCTGGATGTACAGACTTTGTTCTTTATTAAGGAGCAAGTTCACTGGTAAGGGGTTTGTGCACAGGGATGGAACCAGAACGAGTGTGCATTAAAAACTGGAAAATAGCACTCTGGTCTTTGGGTTCCCCGTGGGGGTGTGTTTTTGGTTTTGTCACCTAATTCCTGTTAAATCCAAGGAAAGTATATCACCTGGCTTGATTCTTAGGACTCTGGTTTGTGCTGCTAAAGAGCACAGAGCTATGTTAAAGTGTTCTCAGGTATTTGAATACTTAGTACTATATAATATCAGCACTGTAACTTAAATCTGAATGGTGTCATTTGTTTAAGAAAGTGTACTACTTTGTGCTAATATATCTATTCTGCTTTCCACACAGATGAGGTATTGTTTTTTATCTGGAAATCTCTAGTAACACCTGTGGAGAGTGTTCTTGAATTTATACTCCGGCGGCTTACTGCAAATGAGTTAAGTACGGTAAGTAATTATTTGGAGGCTTCCTTTGGTGTGGTTTTGCTTGGTAATTTGACTTACCAATGTCTGAGTTTTCATATCAAATTTATTAATGCCTAAAAAGTCCATTTGCTTAGAAACATTTTTGTAATGTTTTTGATGGGCACTGTTATGTATTATTTGATAAAAAGTGAGCTTGGGGAAGAAAGCTGATGTAGAATTTGTGGAGGAATTTATATGGAAAAATGTTCAGAAGTGATAATAGAAGTCAGGGTTGCTGCTTGTGTTTTGGTGAAATGGAGGAAAAAAAAAAAAAGTAAAGTCTGTGAGAGAACAGTGCAGTATCAATAACACAGGTGCCTGTTCCTGCAGAAGTAAAGGACAGAAGCCTGGGGCTCCAGGCTGCTTTCGGTTTATACTTTTCATATTCTTTCTGAGAAAGGGAAATGCGAAGAAAGAAAGGTTGAATGCTAGTGTGACAGAAGAAGGATAAGAAAAGTTGTACTGCATTGAAGCAAGTGCTAGAGTTGAATTCCAAAGTCTGAAAGATGGTGAAATTGCAAAGGTGCTACTACTAAAACTAAAGGATTTTTTGTTTGTCATACAGTTCCTTGAATTTAAAAAACAATAATAAAGGAAAAGTTGTTCAGCTGCAGTGACTGCTGTTGTTTTCCTTTTGCTGTTGCTGATGACATCATTTTTCTGTTTTCACTGTGGTTCTTCCTCTTAATACTTCAGTTTACCATTGTATCCTCTTTCGTAGGTTGGTGACCTGGATCGTTGTGACCTATACTTAGCCTTAATTCCAGAGATTGTGAATCTGTGCTTGCAACTCAGCTCAAAAAAGTTGACAACTGTCAAGAAATTCATCTCATCCCTGACTAATGCCTCTATTCGTAATTTTTGGGAAACAAATTCTGCAGAGGTAATTCAGTATTACTTAGAGCAGTAAATACTGATACAAAGTAAATAAGATAGCAGTTATTGATTAATACAGATACATGAAATTATGTCTGTAAAACAAAGTTTTATGTGTGTATGCATATACTTCCCAACATGTCTAATCAGTTGGCAGCATAGCATCAATATATAATATTTGTACCTAAGATTTTTAATAAGTTTTGTTTTCTTACATTACTTCTTAAAAATAGGTGGTGAAACGTAATTGAAAACTGTAGTTGACTATAATGAGCTAAATGTGTTTGAAAGCTTTTTCCTCAAATATGAACTGGATTTCCCTGGGAAGTTATATCTAAATGAAAATGCCTTGGGCATATTGCAGTGTTAGCTTGAATGTGCAGTGAAAAAGATATTCTGAAACCCAGCCGTGCTTTGACTTTTGGTGCGTTGTTTCTTGTCCTGTAGCAGTATTTAATTAGGCTAATATATCTGAAATATATTTTCAAAAGGTAAAGAATCATTATTATCACTTAAAAGGAGGAGATTATACTGCCCAGCAAGTACTAGTTTTAATCTTTGCAATTTTTTTGTGTTGAATTATTTATCGATAACAGTTAATAGCACAGTAAAAAGATTGTAAGGATTGGATTCGCCAGGCTTACTTTTCTAAGAAAGAACAGAACTTTTTTACTTTGGCTATATGAATTATAATACTGACTCCATTCATTTCAAAATAAATATTCTCTGATTCAGCGTTCAGTGGGGCCTCTACAAACTTCTTTTGAATTCAGTGAGAATTCTATTTTCATGATGATATAGTACATTCTAGGTTCAGGTTTATTTAAGTAGAAAAAGTAGTGTTGAGCAGTTCAGATGGGAAAATGTTTTCTGTGCTCTCTGGACACTGCAAGTATTTTGCAGATACTTAACAATGAGTTTTTAATAATATTAGGAAACTATATGCTTATTGACAGTATTTTTCTTAAGACATTTTGTTTCCTTATATGTATCAGTTGGTTATTTGTGTTAGAGAAGCAATGGATGCATATTTGATGTTTTTTTTTAATTTGGTCTTATTAGGAGCTGAAGCTTAAGGAACAAATAAAAAAAGTAACTAGTATAGCCTCACTCACAGCAGTTTGTGAGCTAGTGGATCAGAAACCTGAAGCACACCTTGAAGATTTGCCTTCTGTGGATGCTTTAAAGAGATTTACTGCCTTTTCCCAATTTAATGAAGTATTAAAGAAACCGTCTTACATTGAAGAAAAAAGTGGGTACGTTTGTGATACTGATTAAGTAATAGTCCAGAACAAATTTGATTAGAGAGTGGAACAGTGATTAAGATGCTGTTTTTGGTTTTTTTTTCTTTGATAACTTTGTACCTAGATAAAAATTGAAGAATTGTGAGCACAAATGATTCCTTCAGTTGCTCTTCCGTCTTTGTTCTGGTCCTAGAGCATTGAAACAGCCATAATATTTCAGACCAAAGTGCTCTAACTCAGTTCAGTGCTGTTGAAATACTTTTCCAGTACTGTGTAACCAGAGCTAGCTTTGAATGTTGCTGATGCTTAGGCAACCTTACCTATCTGTACACTGCACAAAGCCAGAGCATGTGCACAAGCCTGGTTAAAAAGAAATTATTTACAGTTGGGAAAGGGAGGGAAATCTAGAGCAAGCTGTAGGGTCAAAAAGCAAGTACTTGAGAAACGTAAAAGTACAGAAAGCATGCGATGTTTGTCCTGAATACTCTTCCAGAAGTTTATAACTAATGAGAAAACCTGAGCTCAGGACTGATTTTTCTGTGTTTAGGAAACTTTATTTTTGGATTTCTTTTCAGGATTTTGCCCAGTCTCCCCTTTAACCTGTGAAAATTTGAGTGTCTTAAGTATAATAAGTACAGTAACACTGTTCATAGTAGATAAGAATGTGCGCAATCATTAAATACAGTGCATGCTTAAGAAGATTTTTTTTTTGCAGCTTATGTGAGGAAGCATCTCAGGGATGGGGAAGAATTGTTGCACGCTATGTACGTGACCAGTGGATTTGCCTGTGTTTTGCTTTAAATAAACTTCCAATGTTGGCTCAAGAGTATGAAGAAGGAACTTCAGAACTGTTGTTAACTGCTGAAAGATCAAAAGAAATTCTAGAATCTGCATTGGAAGCCCTAACTATTCTTCCTTCAGACCAAGTTTTACCTGTGTTTGACTGCATGAAAGTCCTTGTTCCCAAGGTAAAAGATGAAACAACTGGATGATACTACTTAGGTGTGTTTGTTTTGTCAAATTTAACACATTTCTTCTTTTTATTCTCAGCTTCTGAACTTACAGGAATCTCTCTGCATAGAAGCATTCGATTTGGCTTGGAAAATCATATCCTCTTTGAGCAATACACAGCTAATATTTTGGTCTAATCTGAAAGCTTTTGTTCGGTTCATCTTTGATAATGAGGTTCTAGCTGCTGCAAGTGCAAACGGCCCAGCGTATGCCAAGATAAAAGAGGTCAGTTTAAGAACCCATTTGTGAGAAATAAACATACATTTTCAGATCCAGATAAATTGTTTTTATTTTTCATTTCCTCTTCAGCATGTGGTGATTTTTTTTCGTTTTCTAAAAGAAACTAGTTTGATAGGAGATCAAGATCTGAGAATTAGGTTGAAGATAAACAAATGGAACTTGAAGCATGGAACAGTGTTAGCTCTATTCTGTGAGAAAGTAAAAAGATCTGTGAAACCTTCATATTCAGTCAGCTTTTTCTCTTACACTATTGAAGGCAATAGCAAACAATTGAAGGGAATCTGCAGTGCAATACAAACAAAAGATCAAAGTGCATTTTTAAAATATTGTTAGCTTTTCATGTTTGCCAGCTTGAGCAGTTTCAGAGTAAAGGCTTATAAATGAAAGACTTTACATATCTATTGTTTGTTCTTGCAACACAGAAAAAGTGTTTCTCATATTTTTAGACTTCTACATTGAGTAAAATGTGGGGTTTTTTGCTCTTTGAATTATACTTGCATTATGCACTTTCTCTGAATTTTTGTATTCAAGATTTGCCACCTGCACTGACAGAAGCTGTTGTTGGGAAATTTTTCTAAGAGTCTTTAAGAAAATATTTTCTTAGATGAAACATCACAGCCCTTTAAAACTTAAATAGATGCTATTAAATAAGGGATCTTTTAAATGTTTAACTGTTTTTTTTACAGCGCTGCTTTTTTTTCCCCTCTGAGTGTCCAAGTGTAAGAAACAACAAAAAATATTGTCACCTTTAGAATCAAGTTTAAAGCTGTGTGGTAGAACTGCTTCCAGATTTTGGAAGACAAAGAATTCTAGTTGTTTTTTTTTTTGTAAATGCACATAGTTTTATGTACCTCAGAAGTCCTTCCCTTTGTCATGGTGTTTTTTCTTTCATTTTGAGTCCCTGTATTCAGTATTGGGATGTTGGTTTATCTTGGGAGGCATAGCATACTTATTTTCTAAATAACACTTCATGTGGATTTTTTGTTGGTTTTTTTATTGCTTTTCCTCGGGCCGTTAAATAAATGTTTGTGCAGAGCAGCTCACAGTGACTGTGAAGACATTTACCAGAGCATTAATACTTTGTAATTTAGTTACCCATACATATGTATGCTTAGTATTGTTGTCTTTTGTTGCTTTTCACTTAGCACAGAAGTTACGCTGGATCAGATTGCAGTTTTGTCTTGAACTGTGTCCTGATGTCAGACTCATATTTGTAAACAATAAATAATGTATAAGCTTTATTTTTGGCTCACTTTCTTGAAATGAGCATTGCTGTCATCTGTTCTAAGCAGTAAATAATGCTTTGCATTTGTAGTCTTAATGTGAACCCAAGCCATAATAATGTGTGTATGAAGATAGGTAAATATCTGCAAGTTCTAGAAATTTGTGAGGTTTGTCTTTTAATGATTATTTGGCAATTATATGTGGCAACTGATCTCTAGCTAGCTTACATTTCTTTTTTGTTGTTGTTTTTTCCTTCTTGTTGAGAATTACCATCTTAACTTCAATATTAGTATTTTAGACACTATGATTATGTAAGGTTTATTTTGCCAATGTTGAGTCTTGAGTCTCCATGACAGCTATCCCATTGTCTGCAGTGGGGCATACCATGGCAACAGGCATCAGGTGCTAATGAAGATCTCCTGTATTCAGCAAAGGGCATCTGGTTGAGCCACCTTCTTGCCCCTTCATAAGAAAATGAAGATAAAGTTCCCAAGCAAGTGTTTACTTACATATATTCTTATCCCACTCCTCAGCAGCCATTTTTTGCCTTGTGCAACGTCTATTTAGTTTTAGATAAAAAGACTGGGAAAAAATGGAACTGCCTGATACTGATTGGCTACAGAAGTGTAATTTTGTCTGCCAAGGTGCACTGTCTTTTCATAATAATTAGAGGGGTTGATAAGGGATACTTTTGAGCCAAAAAGGAAGTACTGCTCTATGTAGGTCTTCTGCAGAGGTGCCCAAAGCACTGTGATTCTAGGCTTTGTTTCTTCTGCTGCTTTTTTCCTCTTACCTTGTAATTATGCAAATGCTAATTGTGCTAAAACTCAAATTTGCTAAATTTCTCACATACAAACGTGAACTTCAACATGGATATAATCCTCATTAAATGTAGATGTAATGTAGATACACGATGGGGAAAAAACTGCGTAATTTTTTTCTAAATAAGTATGGATTAATTTGAAAGCACAAGCTTTGTGTACTCAATAAAGTAAGCCCAGGTGCATTTGTTACAGTTCCCAGGAGATTTGTGAAAAGTCTGCTTAGATTTGTATCAGTGTTTGTTCTTGGTCTTCTTTTTAACATAAGCATATTGGGCCAGTTGTTACCCATTCACCTGTGAGTATAAACAGAACTGTAAGTCAGTTCAAAACAACATTAACCTAAGGGAATCTCAGGTGCAAGAGGGGATCATGCCTGCAGTAATAGAACAGCAGAATGGCTTAGGTAGGACCTTGAAGTCCACCCAGTTCCAACCCCCTGCCATGGGCAAGGCTGCCACCCACCAGCTTAGGCTGCCCAGGGCCCCATCCAATCTGGCTTTGAGCCTCTTCAGGGATGGGCACCCTTAGCTTTCTGGCAGCTGTGCCATTGCCCTCTAAGTAAATAACTTTCTCCTAACATCTAACCTGAATCTTCTCTTTTTCCACTAGCTTTTGTGGAAATGAAGACTTTTAATCTTCAATTTCTTCTTTTCAGATAATACTCAAGCTCATAGATATGTCCACTACAAAAACTGGAGTCTTCAACGTAGTCCTTAGTCACTGTTGTCAATCATGGATACTTCCCACTTGCGATAACAGAAGTGCTGTGAGAAATCCTTTCTTAAATGCTGGGAATTACTGTGAACTTATCATCGAGGGCTGTGTCTTCGGAACTGTATTTAGGAGAGATCAAAGGTATAAAAACAATTCATCAGACCCGTGTGCATGATTATTTGTTCTAATTTTGTGCTCTTTTCACAAAAATTAAAAGAAAGCAATTTATTTTCTATGCTCTTCTGCAAACTTACTGCTTTGTCTTTTTTATTCTGAGAAGACTTATTCAGGATGTGCATGCCTTCATAGAAAATCTTGGAGAAAATTGTGCAGCAAATGTTGTTACTGAAAGGTATGTATCTTATAACGTTTAGTGTGAATTACTACTGATGCTGATTACAGCATGAGGAAAGATACTAGTATAACTGTAACTTGAAATGTAAGTAAAAGGCATTGATGTCACATCCCATTCAAATACCAAATATAGAAAGTATTTTCAAGAAAATACTCTAAGCTGAAGGGGACTGAAGTAACTATTTCTTCACTTTTTTCACCTCATAAAAGTAGCACATTAGGATGCAGATAGCTTATCATACTGTGTTGATACACAACTCATTTTTGCAGGTGTGACAATTAATAAACATAGGGTTTAATTAATTGGGCCACCTTTGGAGTTTGACTTCTCAGCATTGCTAGTAGGCATAGTACTTACCAAACCTTGTAATGAGACTGCTGTTTCTGTAGGACGTATTAAAGACCTGTACATAGAAGCAGTGGCGAGTTAATAGGAGGTCATCAGTTTTCTTCATCAGCAGTGATGGACAGACCCAGAATTCTGGTTTGGGTTATTTCCATGTTCTGTCATCTCACTATAGGCAACACCACAGACCTAAGACTGCAGAGTTCTTCACGAGAAATGGGTTGCTTACTTTGTTTTGCCTTCTAGTTTGACTTCCTAGATTTCCCAGCCTATTTACAGTGTTTACAGTTCATTTCAGAAATTGGCAGTCTATTTGGCGTTACTTAAATTACAAAATGCATCCATCCTTGAAGATGAGCTTTAATTTTTTGCGTGGCCCAGTGTTTCTCACAATTGAGAATATCATATGCATGCTCAGATACTGTTTATATTTTCTAATTTAGAATTTGTTTGGATGAAACATATGACTTTTAAATCAATATCTTACAGTACAAACCGAGATGATCACTATGTACGGATTTGTGCTATTAAATTTCTGTGCTTGTTGGATGGATCGAATATCTTGCATAAGAGCTTTATGGAAGACATTGTCATCAAACTACTTGAGAAAGTAAGCTTTGTTTCTCTTGGTAAATAAATGTGATGTTAATGCAACTATTAAAATGCTAAATAATTGCAGCTGAAAGGGCATATTTACAGTTGTTTGTATAGTCTCTATGAAGAGAGAGAATTTTTTTTGTTATTATAGGACACGAGTTACTTAATTCAGCCATACATGAGTGGTAAAAATAGTCTCTTTCAGATCTATTTCTGAATTTATAGGGGATGTTCTAGCTTTACTGAGTATTATCCAAATTGTAGCCTTTATTCCATGAAGAACCTTCCTTTAGCCTGCATTTCAGAGTGCTGCATTTCACTTCAGCAACTTCAAACAACTTTTGGAATAGCGAGATCTTTGTCTCCTTAGGAGGCCTTTATAAATCATCTTAATGGAGAAGGTCAGGGTCTGATTTTCATTTGTTATAACTGCTTATGTTTTGACGCTAGTGTAAAATCATTGGTAACTGACTACATAATGCATGCATTCTGGTAGTGTTGTATTCTACTTTTTATGTGAAGAACAAGAAATGGATGATTCTTTATTCATTCCCTCCAGTAGGGAATAGCTGAGTATTTACGTTATAAGATCAAGTGGAAAACGTGACTTGAGCTTTAAAATAGATTTCATTTCTTAAATGTGAATGTTGAGCATGTAAATTGAAAAAAAAAAAAAAAAAAAAAAAGGCATTTTAAATTAATATGAGACTTGTAAAACCAAATTGAATATCAGTTTCTATCCCAAGACTAGAGCTGCAGTTACAGGCTCATCTCTTACAATTACAGGCTATCGTGACTAAACCTCTTTTGAAATGTAGACTACAGTAGAAATGCTTTAGTTTGTGTATTGATCTCTTAGCCTGGGATAATCAGTTCTGGTTTCATGTAACTAAGTGACAACTTCAGTCTTCGTTCTCCAGTTTATCCAGTATTAGTTTAATTGTTCATATACAGTAGGTGCTGTCCTACGTAAATTCATTGTCTTTCTGCTCTGTGAAGATTCTCAGTACCTAACATGTTAATGCTCCTAAGTAAAAATACGGAGTGGAATTGTCTATTTCCTCAGCTTCTCATGAAAAAGACTTAAAATTTATTTCTATTTTATTGAGGCTAACGTGTTTGTCCTAATCATGTATAAAGCTTATACTAGCTTTGCAACAGATGCTGCTCTTTATAGTTGCATATGTTTCCACCTTTGCAATTTTAAACAAAGGATATGTACTAATACTTTTAATTTACTCTTAGGATGAGCTGGTGTCCAGATCTAGAACACGTTATTATGCAAACTCATTACAGCATAGAATTAAAAACCGGGTATGGCAAACACTCCTAGTTCTTCTTCCAAAGCTGGAACAGGTATTACATTTCACTTTAAATTCTTTAAAATGTTTTTTTTTGAGTCTACTTTTGAGAAATACTGAGTGCATTAATTTGCAACAGAGCATAAAGGACATCTCATCTCCGTGACTGACATATAAATTTCATGTAATCTCATTCTTTTAGTTTGAAATCTTGGATTGATGCACTTCTAGAGGTCACTGAAACCTGGATCTTGCATTTGTGAAGATTGAAGGCTGGGTTGTTGAGCCGAGCTAGGGCTTTTTTGCTCATCATCTGATTTCAAGCTTTTCTTTTAGGAAAAATGCTACTACTTTATGAATATCCAGAGAACTCAGAAGTTCTAGTTTCACATAATGCATCCTCATAATAAAATGTTTGAAAAGTAAATTGTCATAAAGTCATGAAAAATTGAGAGTCCCTGCTTGTATTAGATACAGCTCTTAGCATTGTGCAGTGTGAATTCATTGGCAGTGTGAATAGTGTTAGCAGGTACTAAGGACATACTGGGGCAGCCTTGTGGTGACTCATGTTCTTCCTTAGGTGCTGTTGTCTTACAGTACTATTGTGTCCACGAGTTTGGTCATTCTTTACCTGTAGTCTCCATGCATCAATTAAAAATACGAATGTTAGGTATGCTTTGTGAGGAGTGTATGCTTAAACAAAAAAATCAATCAAACCTTCTTTTCTTCAGTTCTTCCATATGAGGATTAGAGAATTATGTGGTACGTGTTTCTAATGTGTGCACTGTTTAGCTTACCTGTGCTATAACAGAGCTTCAATAGCAGTTTGCTGTCTGATCCCAGCCATGTTTATAGCCTTTTGCCTGTGAGTATTACCTGCATTAGTTAACTTGTAAAATGAAGAAATTAGAAGGTCCTACATTTTTTTTTTAGTTTGATTTATCAAAAGTGTTTGTAATATTATAAAGCTGAAAAAAATATTTTTTTCTTCATGGAAATTACTCTAACCTTATACTAAGTGATTGTGTTCTTTTTTTTTTTTCCTTAGAATTTCTTGTGTGGAATCCTTGACAAAGTCTTTCAGGCTGGATTTGGTAACAATCAAGCATCTGTGAAGTACTTCATAGAATGGGTTGTTATCTTGAGTCTACATAAATACCCCCAATTTCTCAATAAATTCTGGGATTGCTTCTGCTATGTAAGTAAGAACTTTGGCATTCACCTAATTTAAACAAAAAAGCATAAAGTCTTATTTTGGGCAGATTTTGCACATGGTCAGGAAAGGATTAACTGGAGAATGGACTCACTAGTGCTTCATTTTTGTCTTTGGATACTTTAAGTAATTAGCCTTAAGATTAGACCTGTAGAAGTAGCCTGTTCTGATGATCTTGAATGTATATCAGCATTGTGCATTTGAGGTGAGTACGAAAACATGTGCTTGCACCAACTCCACTGTACAGGCAGGCGTTGCTTAGGGAGCCCTGTGGAAGCTTGCCACTCAGAACAGTTATTGAACCATGTTGTCGTCCTTATCAAATACAAATAGCATCATTGGTACAGTAATTGTTTTTTAAAAGCCAAACCATAGGACAAGGTATTAAAAAAAAAAAAAAAAAAATCTAAAGATTTGGAAAACTGTATGTCATATATATGTATTTATATTTTATATAAATTTTTTTCTCTTTGCCCAAAACGGTGCAGGAATTTAACACTACCCTGCGTGAAAACTTTGCTCACGAATTGTGTGCTGTTTTCTTCTCTGTAACAGGGATGAATCTCTATTTCAGTGTATATTTGATATCCTTTGATACATTGAAGGTCAAATCAATCTAAAAATTCTCTATAGAAATCTAACAACAGTACAGTTGAATACAAATACCTCAGGGACATTCAACACGTCTGTTTTTAGTGAGATCACTTATTTCAAATAGAAAGGTTCTTGAAGTTTCTGCACAGTTTGGGTCAGCAGCACAGAATTCATTGTGCTGTCGGTCATAAAAATGTTTTAGCATCCTTATGAGAAAATGTTTGAAGCTGCCATTGTGAAAACACATCTTTAAACCGGGTGGGAAGTTGGTTGTTGTGTCTTGTTGGGGTGGCTGTTTTGTTGTTTTTTTATTTTGAGGGAAAGTACAATGACTGAATTTAGTTTTAGTTCATTTGTACTGCTGCATGCTTTTTTAAAATGTGTTTGTGAAAAGAAAACTTAGGAAAAAATGTGAGTGTTTTAGTGAGCTTTGCTATGGAAACGGTATTTTAAGTGTTGATATCAAACTGTAGATACTGCAGCTGCAGAACCTGCTGTGAAAAAATACAGGTACATTTTAATATAGGTGTATTTCTTACCTGTTGAGTTCTTTTTTTCCTTTAGGATGAAGAAAAGCTTAAAACAAGCATCTGTACATTTTTATCAGTGTTATCACATTTTGACACCATTCTTCAAAATACCTCAGAGAAGGTAAGATTTATTAAAATGTTTATTCAGTTGCACTTAATTTGAATTTCTGAAGTAAAATCCTTTTTTGCTGTTTGTCTTCAAAAATGTTTCAATACTTACTTCCTCCTCAGATAACTTTTGATATGAAAAATAACTCTTCAGGCTATGGCTGTAACATACTGTTACTAAATGTTAGGTAAATGGCAGGTGTTTTTGGATACATAGGGCCTTGATTACCTGTGAGTTTTTCTAGGACAGTTACTCCAGTTCAATTAAGCATGTGGTGGATGCACCTGGGTTTGTTTTTCCTTGTTCTTAATTTGCATGAAATGAGATTCAGCTAGCCTTGAAGCATAATAACAGTCATTATGGAATTCTTTAGAAATACCTAGTCCACATTAATTTTAAATTCTGTTTTATTTGGAAGCTTTTTGTTTTGTTTTGGAGGTCTTTTCCAACCTTGGTGAGTCTATGATTCTATACATTTGCAAGATAAGTTTTCTAAGCACTAGAAGTTCAGCAAGTTACGTGAAAGTTTCCATATATGCAGAACAATAATCTTTATAGCAACCCAGTATATTTTCAAAACACACATGGACTTGTAGGCTTGTGCCCTAGTGAACAGAAGGAAGGAAATCACATATCTGCATATACAGATACCGTTAAAGCTTTTGGACTGAAAGGCTGTTTTCAGAGGAAATAACCCAATTTCTTGGGCTACTTTCTGCTCTTCTTCTAAACGATGCATCAAGACTTAATGGAAATGACAATCTTTTGTTTTGTAGAAGCCAATTCTGAAGAAAGCCCTCTTGGTAGTTCTGCAGTGGTGTTTCAACCATAATTTTAGTGTCCGACTTTATGCACTGGTTGCACTTAAAAAAATCTGGGGTATGTGCAGAATGTTGGATGTGGAAGAATTTGAAGCCCTGACACCAGTTATTGAATCGAGCCTTCAACAAGTGGAAAACATGCATGGCACAGGGTTAGTAGCAGCTTCCTGACCTAGAGCTTTTTTTTTAATAATGGTCTATGGTAACCAAAAGCCACTCAGCTATGGGTTGTGGGCTAGCAGTTTCCTTGTGAGACCTGAATGAGATACCCTTTATTGCCAGACTGACTTGTGTTAGAATTTGGAGACTTTAGGGACCTTTCTTGAAATCTGTTCTCATGGAACAGATCATCCTGGATGACATGCTTGCTCACATGAGGAAAGGGCGTGTGATCCGTGACAGCCAGCATGGCTTCACCAGAGGAAGGTCATGCTTGACCAATCTGGTGGCCTTCTATGATGGAGTGACGGCAGTGGTGGACAAGGGAAAGGCGACCGATGTCATTTACCTGGACTTGAGCAAGGCCTTTAACATGGTCCCCCACCACATCCTTATCTCCAAACTGGAGGGATGTGGATTTGATGGGTGGACCACTCGATGGATAAGAAACTGGTTGAAGGCCATAGACAGAGGGTGGTCATCAATGCCTCCATGTCCAGGAAGGAGGCCGGTAACAAGTGATGTCACCTAGGGGTCTGTCTTGGGACTGGTGCTCTTTAACATTGTTTATCAATGACATCAATGACGGAAACCCTCAACAAGTTTGCTGACGACACCAAGCTGAGTGGTGCAGTCGATATAGTTGAAGGAAAGGATACCATTCAGAGGGACCTCGAGAGGCTAGAAAGGTGGGCCTGGGTGAACCTGATGAGGTTCAACATGGCAAAGTGCCGAGTTTTGTACTTGGGCCAGACTGGAAGGAATGGTCCTTGAGAGCAGCCCTGTGGAGAAGGATCTGGGGGTCTTGATGGATGAAAAGCTTAACATGAGCCAGCAGTGTGCCCTTGTGGCTCGGAAGGTGGCTTGGAAGGCAAATGGTATTCTAGGCTCCATCAAAAGAGGGGTGGCCAGCAGGGACAGGGAGGTGATTGTTCCCCTCTACTCTGCTCTGGAGTACTGCATCCAAGTGTGGAGCCCCCAATACAAAAAAAGACAAGGAGCTGTTGGAGAGGGTCCAGAGGAGGGACACAAAGATGATCAGGGGACTGCAGCACCTCCCCTGTGAAGACAGGCTGAGGGAGCTGGGCTTGTTCAGCCTGGAGGAAAGAAGGCTGCGGTGTGACCTCATTGCAGCCTTTCAGTACCTAAAGGGAGCCTACAAACAGGAGGGGAATCAACTCTTTGAAAGGGGTAGATAACAGCAGGATGAGAGGAAATGGTTTTAAGTTGAGGGAGGGGAGATTTAGGTTGGATGTCAGGGGGAAGTTCTTTACAGAGAGAGTGGTGAGGTGCTGGAAGAGGCTGCCCAGAGAGGTTATGGATGCCCCGTCCTTAGAGTGTTCAAGGCCAGGTTGGATGGGGCCCTGGGCAGCCTGGTCTAGCATTAAATGAGGAGATTGGTGGCCCTGCATGTGGCAGGGGGTTAGAGATTCATGATCCTTGAGGTCACTTCTAACCCTGGCCATTCTGTGATTCTGTGATGTTAACCTATTTCCTGAATGCTGTAGTTTTAAAATTGGCCCTTAACAGTTAAAGCGTTTATTTTCTATGTAATATGTAGTAATTACAATCAGTTTGTCATTCCAATTTGACTACTAAAAAAATCCAATATGTTGCACTTGTTCTTTTGTGCATCATGCGTTACTTTCTGCAATTGCAGGAATGCTAGAAGAAACTGGCAGAGAATCCAGGATCATTTCTTCTTTGCAGCATTTCATCCACTCGAGGACTATAATCTAGAGGCAAGTCTAAAAAACACCATTGTTTGTCATCATATTTGCATAGTTTACAAGTATATTTTTAACTTTCTCTGTATGCTGTAATGTAGGGAAAGCAATGATCAACTATTATTCATTTAAAACTCTGAAAAAAATAATTTCACCTAAATTGTCATGGATTTTACATTAAGAATACAGCCGAATTCTCTAATTCTGTGCTAAAAACCTATGTCAGTTAGGAGAAGGTGAGCATGATGAACATGCCCATCTGTGCAGGAATTGATCACATTTTCTATTTGTGTCTGGAAAAGTTACTGCTACTAACTATAGACCTGAATCACATAGGAGTTGTCAGAATTTTTGATGCTTCTGTTCTTAGGAAAAATACAACAAAACAGGCTGCTGAACTAAATTGTTAAATGTGAGTGGGATAGAGATCTGTAACATACCAAGCATCTTTTTCAGCTCTACTTTAAACTGTAGCTTAAATAACTGAAAGCTGAATTAATGCTGCAGAGGGCAGGGGGCAAAAATAATAAGTGTAAATAAAAATAAGGGATGGGAATATGACTTAAAATAGAAGAGAAACATGGATGTGAAAAGGGGTACACTTTTTGGCAGAAGCAGTGCTGTGGTTCAGAGTTGACTGGTTGGTTGTTTCTGAAAACTGATGTTCTGTGAGGTATTTCTGTGAAAATTAACTGCTTGATGTGACTTAGCAAAATTGGGCAGCAAAAGTCTCTAACAATAACCAGAAAAACAAGGCTGACACAAGTACTGAGATTATAAAATGACAGATAAAAGATATGTGCTATAAAATTGCCTGGAGGTTAATTATCCGTTTTGCTTTCTTTGAGTGTTGCTGTGCTAATAATGCTGTATTATATTGCAGACGATATTTTGTACTCTTCCACGCCTTTCAGAAGTTGCTGAGGATGAATGGATCTCTCTCTGTAAATTTGAGAGGTTTACTGACATTCCTTTGCCGCCAGCATTTCAGTGGTATCGTTCTCGAGCTGAACTTCTTGATCTAAAACCAAGTGACTGGTCTCAGCAAGACACAGGTAAAATACAGCTAATGTATATTAAATGTAATATTGGTTTGCGGTGTAATAACTGTAACTTTCTATACTAATCTGAACTTAGCATGCAAATGATCCTTATGCTATCCTGCTGCAGTAGTCTTGAATCTGTATGAGCAAAGGATATACCATAAAATAGTAGACGACTTGAATGTTGTCTACAGTACTACCACTTAGAAAATATTGAAGCAGTAGCTTCACTACCACTTGAATATCCATAGACTGATGTTTGTTCCTGTAGGTTCAAGTTCACTTGACACAGATGGCCAAACAGAGTGGACTGATGTTCAGAAAAAGATCATACCCTGGAAACACAGTACTCCTAGTTCAGATCTGGAAATGGTATTGCAGGACCGTGCTGCTAAGCTTGGTAAATCAAACAGCAGACTGATTGTGGTGGCTTCACTTATTGATAAACCTACCAATTTAGGAGGTAAGCTTGAATGGATGCCTCTGAACTTCTAGTTTGGACCTTAGAGCACAGTTGGCTCGTAAGGATGAATGTGAAAAAGATAATGTTCAGTATGTGGTACTAGAAAATTATTTTAGTACTACCCAGAGAAAGAGATGATTATCCTTCAAAAACATAACAAAAGGAAATGTTACCTGTTTCAGGAGTATTCTATAGTTTCTATTAGGAAATATAATAATACTGACATGTAGCATGCCTTAATTAAGTAGAACTTCACTGTAAATCATGTGATTTACAGCAATTTATTAGGTTGTTCTTGTTATCAGAAAAATAGGCCCACAAGCTGATGCTGTCTGTGCTGTAGTGCAGCATTGTCATTCTCCCAAGTATTTGATTTAATTGGTACTGGATTTAGAGCTTAAATGTGCTGTGCCCATGCCTGTCGCCATAAAGGCTTTTATAGTGACCCACTATTCTGTGTGATAAGCAGTGTAGAAGCATGGTGCCAGATGTAGAGCTCTTACAATTTTCATCTTTCTGCTTAGTTACTAAACATTTTCTGTCTGGTAAGATAGATGGAACAAAAGGTATAAACTTTTGGAACAGACCTAGAAAGTACCTGAAACTGATTAAAAACAGAGGGCTAGAATAACAGGTTTTTTTTTTTATATTCTTTGTTCCTTCTTACTTGCTAAAATATCTTGGCTCAGCGTTTATACTGTTTTCTATACAAAAATGACTTTAATTCTTCTATTGTAGGTTTATGCCGTACAAGTGAGATATTTGGGGCATCTGCACTAGTTGTTGGCAGCCTTCATTACGTACAGGACAAACAGTTCCAGCATCTGAGTGTTTCTGCAGAGCAGTGGCTCCCCCTTGTCGAGGTGAATGGAAACTGTTTAGCAGCTCAAAAGTGTGCTGTAGCCTTCAATGTATTGGATGCATAGTTCACTAACTTATTGTTTCCTCCTGCAAAAATGAGCCTATTTAACAAGCTCCTGCTGTCATTTCTGACACTTAAAATATTTTTGGAGTGACCTTTGGGTCACCCTCATAACAAAGAATTTTATAACTTTACATCGTTGTGATTAAGTGCAGCACTGGAATGTAATGTTTATTTATAAAAGTCGAACAGCACTTAATTTATCTTAGTCCATTACTCAGCTGTTGAATTTGCCTGAAGCTAAATTGTGCTAAGCTTTTAGAGCCTATTATCTGGTTTCTACAAATGATTCCAAGATGTATCCTTAATATTTGTGCAAAAATATGGTTGTGATACTTTATTAATTTGTTTTTCTGTATCAGCCATGGTTAAGTCATGTAAAACCATCAGTTCATTTTCTTCATTCACAATGTTTATTTTCAGCATATCTTTTTCCAGAGCAGTACAGCTGTAGTGTGTGTGTCCATCAACATTCTGTTTTAGGCAATGCATTTTATACCCAATCTCTGTACAGAAGCACACTGGTAGAAGAAATTGGAATCTAAAACAAATACATAGTTGGATGAAGAAAAGTAAAAAATTCTTTACTCAGAAATTGTAATACAGGCATGTCAGACAGCTAAGTGAGCTGCAGTACATGCTGTTAGATTGTTTGGAGATGAGATTTCCATGGTTAAATAACAAACGCACAACATACTTCATGCAAAAGTGATTCTTCTACATTCAGATAAACTTGGTCAATGCTTGTAGCTGTCACAGGCACAGAAATTGCACTGCATTTATAGAGTAAATTTTTGTGACATTATGTACCTTTCATGCTACCACTGAAGAACTTTGGCAATAAAACTTATTTAAGTATAAAAACAGTCCAAGTAAATTGCTTTTCTTTATTTAAAGTAACTCAGAAGCTTACAAGTGGCACTACTTAAATACTTTTGTATTTACCTACTTTTGGACAGGTGAAACCTTCTCAGCTTGTTGATTATTTACAGCAAAAGAAAACAGAAGGCTACACTGCTATTGGAGTGGAGCAGACAGCCAAAAGTTATGATCTTACAGAATATTGCTTTCCAGAGAAATCACTGTTATTGCTGGGGTAAGAACATGTGCCTTTTGTAAATCAACCTTACTATCCACCCAAATGCCTTTCTGTTACTATGTTACTCATAGTCTTGTCACATGAAAATCAAGTCTTACTGGTAAAGGTGGAACTGTAACTGGAAGTGAGTGGGGAAACAGCGAAGAGTTTGGGTTTACTTGCTAAGGAATGGGAAGCGTGGATCACATCCATGGATATGTAGTTTGTTTTCAGAATGTAGTTCTCATAATCACCTTGTCCTCTTCTAATTAAAACCATAGCTTTAATTACTGAAAAAATTTGGTATCTTCTGATGTGGTTGTTCTGAAGAGGTGAAACTTTGCAGGATACTGGTGAGCCTGACAACCCCTCATTCCAAGACCTCAGCACAAATAGGCAGCTGTTACAGCTGTTTTTGCAGTGTATGGATAGTTCAGAGTGAAGGCAGGGAGGGAGTCCTAATGCTGGGCATTCAGCTATTGCTGGCCCAGTGAAATACAGATGAAGTGCCATACCAATTTTCCTATGTGCCCAGCTTATTCAGGTTGCCCATTCAGGTTTTCTTTGTTTCAGCAATACATTATTGCTTTACAAAAAATAACTTGTGCTCATATTTAAGGGCTGACAATTTATCAAATAGTATTTCATTGCTATCGTGACTCTCAAATCTTCTGCTTTCTGGAACACCTGTCTTCTCCCAGACATAATCACTTTTTTCTTCACTAGGAATGAACATGAAGGAATCCCAGCAAACCTGATTCACCACCTGGATGTCTGTGTGGAAATTCCTCAGCAGGGGATTATTCGGTCACTCAATGTTCATGTAAGTGGAGCTCTGCTGATCTGGGAATACACAAGGCAACAAGTGATCAAGCACAAACAACAAAAATAACTGCCAAGAGTTTTGTGCCTTATAGTACATCTAGGTGGCTTCCTATGGTGCTACAGCATGGGGTTCTGAAGAGAAAGATACAACTCAGGGCAAATGAGGATTCTTACATTTTGCATGTTTCATTTTCTGCAGTTCATGGTGGTTTTTAAATGCCTTAATACTTTACCTCCATAAATAAAACTGTTGCATTGGTAATAAATACCATTTATGCTGTATGTGGTGTGTGACAGTACTACTTGGTGAACATCAGCATTTTTACTGGATTTCTACTGCAGTTAGATTGTGACAGCCATGCTTGAAACTCAAGCTGTGCCTTTTGATAACCACAATCAAAGCTGCTTGTATGCAGAGTGAAGTGTTGAATGTCTCCAGCAGTCAGAAGGGGGATATACATTTTGCACCTGAAGGGGCAGTGCAGGTAATTTCTCATAGTGTAAGTAAATTTAAGTGCCTTTTGTGGTCAAGCTTATTGTTTAATGGAGTTGCTTCACTGTAAGGTAATTATAAACACTAAATTACACAGAAGGCCATAATGTGAGATAAATAACTGTCCTACTTATAAGTGGACTGAAAGCTGATTGTTACAGCTTATATGCATGAGGTCTTTCAGAGGGCTGCTGTTTTGCAAACTGACATCTACCTTAGGCTATATTTTCAAATACTTAGGAATACCTGGCCAGTGCCAAATGTGAATTACATACTTACACCATCACCACTCCCTTTTGACAAGGAAGTGAAGTTGGAAAAGCTTTACTGGGGAAAGTGGATCTACTTAAAAAAGCACTTGTCCATGTTTTAAAAAGAAAAACAAATGCTATCACATAATCATTTATTCTTGCAGAACATTGAGTGGAGTTACATACTCTAAGCCTTGGGTTTGTGTACAGCCCTGTGCTGTGTTTCTTTGTCTCATATTTATGAAAAAGTTGTCCATGACCATCTCTTTTCAGCAGACACGTAAGGCCTTGCAGCCAGAGCAGCAGTCTGCATTTTGGAGGACTGATAGGTTACCAGTTTGTGAACTCCAGAGGTTGTGTTGCTCTCTGCTGCTTCTTCCTGCCACAGGTCAATGCTGGGTAGATGCACTTCAATAAGCACAGTACCTAAGCCTTTCCAGCAGTTTCTGGAGGTTGAAATCCTTCAGATTCCAGCTTTTCTTTGTATTTTAAAAAATCCCTTCTTTTGTCAAAGTATTTAACCTGTTGAAAAAGGAAAAACAAACTCATGTTCATCTTAAGAAATAAACAGTACAAGGGCTGTTGGTGCCTAGTAGCAGGAGTGGGGCATACGTGCTCATTGATCACACAACTGAACCTCATGTTTGTAAAAGCAGGCCCTTGCCTTGTGCCTCTCACTGCAGTGAGGGGAAGCTGAGGCTATCAAGTCACCCCAGCACCTTCTCCATGGTTTCCCAGCCCCTGTGACCCCTGCAACGCACTGCACGTGGTACAACCGCAGCATTCAGTCATTACAGCCACTGAGCACCGGTTTTTAACAACGAGGAAAGGCACGGAGCTGCAGCGGCGGGCCAGAGAGAAAGGAGGCGGGGTTGTGGCCTTCAGCGCCCGGCGGGGAGCAGCCCCGGCCCGCGCTCACCTCCCGCCCGGCACCGCCCGGGGCCGGCCGCTCTGCTCACCCACTGCTGCGGACACAGGGACTCGAAGGACCGCCTCAGCTTCTCGCACCGCGGCGCGTCCTCCGTGTGCCTGTCCAGGCACCGCCAGAACTCGTCGCGTGCCGCCCAGCACGCTTTCCTCTCCTTCATGGTCGGGGCCGACATGATCCCCGCCGCGATACGACGAAGCGGCGCTCAGCCTCCCGGCCCGGCCCACACCGGCGCCGAAGGTCAGGAGCGCGGAAGCGGCGCAGCGCGCATGCGCTGGGAGAGACGGGGAGGCGGGAACAGGCTGTGGGAATGCGCCGTGACACGGGAAATGGGCGTTGGGTGCTTGCCGCAGCTGGAGGCTTTGAATTACGTTTCCATCTAGCAGTGGCAGATACCAAGAGCTCAATTAGTTTGTTTCCTTTGCAGGGAAAGGCTCATAGCCTCCCTTAGGTCATGTTCTTTACCCGTCATAAAATTTCAGTGAATTTAATTTGAAATAGCGTTCTGGATGAAATATAGCCCTATGCCCAACTAATTATTTTGCCAGAAACAAACAGTAATATAATCTTACTTGAATTGGCCACCATAGACCAGGCTGCCCAGGGCTCCACCCAACCAGGCCTTGAACACTCTAAGGACGGGGCATCCACCACCTCTCTGGGCAGCCTGTTCCAGCACCTCACCACTCTCTCTGTAAAGAACTTCCCCCTGACGTCCAACCTAAATCTCCCCTCCCTCAACTTAAAACCATTTCCCCTTGTTCTGCTGTTACCTACCCTTCCAAAGAGTTGATTCCCCTCCTGTTTGTAGGCTCCCTTTAGGTACTGAAAGGCTGCACTGAGGTCAACCCACAGCTTTTTCTCCAGTCTAAACAAGCACAGCTCCCTCAGCTTGTCTTCACAGGGGAGGTGCTGCAGTCCCCTGACCATCTTCGTGGCCCTCCTCTGGACCCTCTCCAACAGCTCCCTGTCTTTCTTGTACTGGGGGCTCCAGACCTGGACACAGTACTCCAGATGGGGCCTCACAAGAGCAGAATAGAGGGGGACAATCACCTCCATGTCCCTGCAGGTCACCTTTCTTCTGATGGAGCCCAGGATACCATCTGCCTTCTGAGCTGCTGCCTCATGTTAAGCTTTTCATCCATCAAGACCCCCAGGTCCTTCTCTTCAGGGCTGCTCTCTCTTCTCTGAAGGACCGCTCCTTCCAGTCTGTATGGATGCCCGGGATTCACAGAATCACAGAATTGCCAGGATTGGAAGGGACCTCAAGGATCATGAATCTCCAACCCCCCTGCCACATGCAGGGCCACCAACCATCCCACCTAATGCTAGACCAGGCTGCCCAGGGCCCCATCCAGTCTGGCCTTGAACACCTCCAGGGACAGGGCACCCACAAGCTCTCTGGGCAGCCTGTTCCATTACCTCACCACTCTCTCTGTAAAGAATTTCCCCCTGACGTCCAACCTAAATCTCCTTTCCCTCAGCTTAAAACCATTTATCCTTGTCCTGCTGTCACTCACTCTTTCAAAGAGTTGACTCCCCTCCTGTTTGTAGGCTCCCTTTAGGTACTGAAAGGCTGCAATGAGGTCACCCCACAGCCTTCTTTTCTCCAGTCTGAACAAGCCCAGCTCACTCAGCCTGTCCTCATAGGGGAGGTGCTCCAGTCCCCTGATCATCTTGTGTCCCTTCTCTGGACCTCTCCAACAGCTCTGTCTTTCTTGTACCGGGGGCTCCAGACTTGGACTTCCTCCAGCCCAAGTGCAAAACTCTGCACTTTGCTGTGTTGAACCTCATCAGGTTCACCCAGGCCTGCCTTTCAAGCTTGTTGAGGCCCCTTGGTGAATGGCATCCCTTCTTTCCACCATGTCAACTGCACCACTTAGCTTGGTGTCATCAGCAGACTTGCTGAGAGTGCACTCAGTTCCATCATCAATGTCAATGACAGAGATGTTAAGGAGCACTGGTCCCAAGACAGACCACTGGAGGACAAACCTCGTTACCAGCCTCCACCTGGACATAGAACCATTAATCCCCATCCTGGCCCAGGATATCCTCTTCTGTTTTTGAGCACCAAGATGTTTTTTGAACAAAAATTGTAAAAACACAGTGTTTAAGAATGGTATATCTGTCTGGCCAGAAGAAGAGAAGACTCTGGGGGGGGGACTTCTCTGTGCCCTTTCAGTACTTAACAGGAACTCACAAACAGAGGGGGATCAACTTTTTACACAGTCTGATAGTGATGGGGCAAGGGGGAATGACTTTAAAGGTAAAAGAGGGGAAATTTAGGTCAGATTTTAGGAAGAATTTTTTTTTTTTACTCAGAGGTCTGTGAGGCCCAGGCACAGCTGCCCAGAGAAGCTGTGGGTGACCCATCCCTGGAGGTCCCCAAGGGCAGGTTGGATGGGACCCTGGGCAGCCTGAGCTGCTGGGTAGCAGCCCTGCTTACAGCAGGGGTGTGGTACTAGATGGGCTTTAAGGTCCCTTTTAAGGTGATGTAGGCATTCATATTAATTATAGCACTTGTTTTTAATGCCAATGTTCATTTTTTGGTCAGTTTTTCAGAAGGAATAAAACAGAAAATGAGTATTTTCATAAGAGCAGGTGATGGAAAGGCAGGAGGACAGACTCATTCTTATTCCTGTTAGTTCCCACTTACCAATTCTCCAGGCCCTTGAGGGATGAGACAAGCTTGTTTTGCAGCAGTGTTGATGTTCCATTTCTTGCAGAAAAGCTCAGACAGGGAGCTGGGAATCTTCCTATTCTACAGACTTCAATTTCCAAAGCTATTTCAATGGAAGAAGAAAAGCTGTGAGTTTCATTTGAATGCTTTCAAATTACCATGGCATGTTACACACTAAAATGTAAGAAATGATTTCTGCTTCTCACTGAGACTGAAACACATCCTACAATTCTTTATCAAAAATCCAGCAGCTATGCTGATTACCTTATCTTTCTGGAAACATTTCACATGCACAAAGATAACGTTGCTCTCATACATGGTGGACATTTGTTCCAAGTATTAATGCTAACTTTGGTACGAGCCAAGCTAGTAGGTAGCATGCCTTTGGTCACAGAATCACACAAGGAGACATGGTTTATATGTTGGGAAAGCATTTAGAACATATAGCAGACCAAAAATCAAATGGACAGTATTATACAACTTCCTGTGTGTGCCTGCCAAGCTGGAGTCATTAAGGACTCGGCATATTCAGAAGCCAGAGGGACAGCAACATCTACTGCTGGGAGACTGCAGATCTGCATTTCCTGGCCCATTGTGTATGATAGTGGCTACCAGGGCAGAAAGACAAAGCTGAAGCTCACATTAAGTCCTTGCCAATCCTGCTGCTTGGACTCCACTGGAAGCCAGCTTCAGGTACTACTAGAAGCTGCATTTGGTGTAAATAATCTGTGTGAAGAAAAGCAAAGGCCACCCTCCCCTATGGAAAGGCAGAAGGGAGCAAGTCTCAAGTCTCTCAAAGGAGCAAGTTGTCTTTTTGTGCTCAATGGAGCCTTAAGATGAGTGACTTTCCACACGCTCAACTTGATCCTTTTTTGAGAAAACAACAAGCACTGCACTTAGGTTTCTGAAGAGTTTCCAATAAATCTTCTCATTACAGAAATTGTATTTGACAGGTTCTTAAGTACAGCATTGGTATGAGTTCTGCAGCTTCCCTTGTTCCAGACTAACTTTCCTTTAAAAGATTCACTCTTCATTACTGAAAAGCAGGTTGGTTGCATCTTAGCGTGTCTGTGATGTGTGTGGAGAAATGCTGATGGACACTCTATTTAGAATAAATATGTGAGTATAGAAAGACGGATAATACATTCTGCTCCAGTGGAGTTTCAGGTAAAAGAGATTGTATGAGGCTTTTTAATCTTGAGAAACTTTAGTTTGATATACTGGTCCTGTCCTTAGAATGAGATTTCTTTTTAAAAGAAGATTTTTAGGCTGTAGGCAGGCATCTGTTCACTTGATTTTCTTTTTGCTTTCAAAAGTTCCTTAAGCTCTTTTCTTAATTTCCTTTTCTGATGTTCAAGACTTTTAAATAAGATGCAGGCTGTTACAGAAGAGCCCTAAAACATGGCAGCTAATGAAGCAAATCTACTTGTTTCTCTTCTAATAGCAATGAACTAATTAAACTTGCCCATCAAAATCCATTACAACCAGCTGTTTCTGCAAGGACAGCTTGCACAGGGACTGGATTGTGAAAGCAGCTTCTCAGCCTTGGCCTTTGCCAAGGAGCAACTCAGCTTCTGAGGCATAAAAGGCTCAAAGCACTGGTCCCAGGCTCAGGTTGTGGTGCTGCCCTGCAGAGATGTACGGGCTTTGTTCCAGCAGTGGGACTGAATCACTGTGCTGTGGAGATTGCACACTGTGCTTTGGCCTTTAAGGCAAGCAGGGGAGCCTGCCTACTGCAACCTGATCTAGCTGTAGGCATCCCTGTTTATTGCAAGGGACTTGGACTGGATGACTGTTAAAGGTCCCTTCTGACTCAAATCATTCTACAAACTCAGCCCTGACCTCCAAGGTACCAAATGCATCCAGTATATCCTTTACTGGTCCCAGATCACAAAGGTTCAATCTTGCCCTCACCTGAAGGCTGATCCAGGGACATCAAGCACCTTCTCAGGAGATCTTTTCCTTCTTATACCTTGTCCTACTAGTGGGAACCAATGACTCCAGTTCCTGTAATTCTTCAGCTTCAAATCTGCAAGATTTTGGCACTTACAGACACGTACCCATATGGACATGCCACTTTCTTAACATCATTCTAGTTACACTCCATGCTTCACTGTCTGGAAAATTTCACTTAGCATCTGCCTGCCCTCAAGCCAGGTGTTCAGCGCAAGATGTTGCCTGAAGAAATACAGGTCAGATCGTCTGGTTGATTTGTCTGTGTGTAGCTCAGAGCAGCTTAAAATAGGTAAATCTAGTATGCACAAGAAAGAGACTGTAAGAAACCACTGATAGAAATCCCAGCCCATGCCTCTGTTTAGGCTGCTCTCTGGAAGGATAAAGCAGCAGAAGCAGTATCACTTGCATTTGGTACATCACAGTTTTACTGATACTGCAAGCCATTGCAGCTCATGAATTCCCCTGTGATCTGCACTGAATGTTAACAAGTCTGTACTAAATGCACATTAGGTGCAGTTTTTAACATTGTTCAGAACATTTCTGATATCTTTTGGACAGCACAATAACACGAAGTGCAGAGATGACAAAAAATACCTCTTATTAGGATTATGGAAAGTAGGACTAGCACACTTGTTCTTAGCCTTACCTCAGTGTTGAAGAAACTGCAAGGTTTACACTGAGTTTGCAACATAAGCTGCTCATTTACCCCTGTATAGCCCCATCCATGACCATGGTAGGGTCAATAGGTTAACTGATCAACAAATAAATCAAGATCTTAGAATTGTCAGGGTAAGAATAGATGAGAAATGAGTGTTGAAATGCTTAAGTAGAGATTTTGGCTGTTAGATAAGAGTAGGTGCACGTGTCTTTTCAGAGAATTAAGGTAAAGAATTAAGATTACCTGAGGCATGACAAACAAGGACAATATGTTATGGAAGGAACCGAAAGAGATGATGAGCACAATGTTATCCCCCCCCCTTTTTGCTATGAAGTCACCCCTGAAAAAGTGTATAAACACCCTGTGTGTATGTTGGGTCTGTGGACACTTACTAGAAGTGACCTGACCCTGCTGTTGTAGTGGAGTCTGATCTAATAAAGCTCCTTGATGAACAACTGAATTTGAGTCTCACTACAATCCCGTCTCTGAGTTTGAGTCTCACTACAAGACTGTCTCTAACACTCAGGCAGGGACGTAGGATACTCTGAGGGTGACTGTAATAATCAAAAAGACCAACACAATAGAATGGTGTTACAGGAGATGTAATGACAAAGGAACTAGCACAACAGAAAGGTGTTACAAAGAAAAAGTACTCACCCATCCCTGAAGATAGATGCTCACAAAGATAACTCCACAAGGGAGGAATCTCTAACCAGAGACCCTTCCCCAGTGGCAGTCAGCCCTTAAATGAGGTCTGAGAGAGATACAGCCAGGCTCCACCCCTTCTGCTCACACAGCTGAATTGCCTTCACCTGTGCTCCCAGGGTTGACCGGGTCCTTTTTCCAGGTGCTCAATCAGTGGTTCAGGCTGTGACTCAACAGTTCCCATGCGGTGACAAAATGATACACCCTGCAGTACGTTGTAAGCTGGGAGATTTGAGATCAAGCCTCTTCACACCAGTTATTAGCACTACAGTACACATGTACTGTATCTTACCCACCCCTGCTTCCCAGAGAAATTTGGAAGCACAGTGAGGACAGCTCTGGGCTTTCCCAGATGGTGCTGATGGTCACTGCCTGCAGGAGTTTGTGTTGAAGGCAGTGGGACTGTGAGCAGGGAGGAGGCCTCCCACGCTGTAGCTTGGGCTGCAAGACCAGACCAAAGATCTGTAGGTCTCATCCTTCCCATCTGATCACTTTGGCCAGATGCAGTACACTGTAAAGCCAACACAGAGGTGGTACAGTCAAGAGAGGGAAACAGACAGCACTGCCTGAAGCCGAGTTTAAAATCTTTTATTATTTAGCTTTGCCAAACAGATAATGGAATCCGAAGTTGAATTGCTAGAATGTTTTGAAGTGGATGCCACCCCTGCCCGAGACAAAGAGGGCCTCAGTGGCAGCAGGGACCCTTAGGCTATGGCAGCAGTTCAAAAGAACACTTTTCATTTTGTATGCAACAATGTAAACTTCAAAAATAGTAAACTATAACCTTTTTTCCCCCTTTTTTTTACATAGCATGTGATCTATCACAGATAGAAATTTAATGGCGAACCAAAATCGCATAAGTAAACATCCTGGTGCTTACAAGTTTCATAAAAAGTGTTACATTTGATGTAAATATATTACATTTTTAACTCTTAACACTCACAATTATGGAGTAAAGCAACTGGTGATTCACCCCTTAGTCCTTGTTCTCAGACCATATATCAGCAACCACGCTCTTGTCTGCTCTGTTGTTCATTTTCAGTCTGATTTTTCCACACATGACCAAGACTTCCCTTCCTCACATTAACATTAATCAAGTGCAACTCCACACAGGGGTAAAACCTGTGCAAGCGAGACGGGAACCAGGCCCCCTGTGTGCAAGCCTGCAACCCCAGAGCCTGGGCATGTCTTGGTGTCAGTGGGACCTTGGGCTGCCCAGGGCTGCATGCCTGAGCCTGCAGCGCCGCCACTCACAGCAGAGCCTGGTTCTCCATGGGTAAAGACAAGAGTTCTGTAGAAGGCACTGGATTTCTCTTGCATGATTCTAAACATGAACTACATCCATGTGCAGTACAAGGAGATTTGGGCTCTGGACTGCTTTCTTGCTAGTACTTTAGTGCAAGTGCTTTTAGTACTTGAATTTTCTTCTGGTTCCAGCACAGCACGTGCTGAGCTATGCAGAGTCATTTCCAACCTTCCTTCCTTCTACTCTCCCCCCCATCTTCCTGTCCCCCAAAAGATTCCCTTTTGGTTCCATTAAAACTTTCAGAGTATAGCTCTGGTCAAAAATAAACACGTGATGTAGCATAGCATTAGTTTCTTTTAAATCACAGTGTGCAATGCATCATTCGGTACCTAACGCTCAGAATGTCTGCCCTGCTTCTCATGAAAACCATTCTTTAAAATAACCTATGCAAATATATTTTGACTATATGTTACATTCATTTAAAAAGAGAAGAGAGGTTCTCGGTTTGCAGTTTTTTTTTTTTCTCAGTGTACTACTTAAGTGAAAGGTCTGATGTGAAAAAGGTACAAGCAAACAGGACATGCCAAGACTCGATGCCTTAGGTGGTGATCATATCAAAACTGTACAGGTATGTACACCGTGGTGGTCAGGTGTGCTTCTTCCCAAGAAAAGACCTTTGCGTCATCGTGTGTAAGGTAACCACAAAGTTTTGGTAAAAAGAGCATTTAATGAGCAAAGGATGACATGGAGGGGCGAGTTCTCCGGCTTTTGTTGGGCAGTCCTGAAGTGACGTCTCCGTTCCCTTCAGGGAGTTCTTCCTTCTTTCGGACCTTGAGACGCGTGAGGAGCTTTATTACCCAGACGTCCCACTCCTCTGGCAAGAGCAACAGGAGGAAGCCCAGGCCGATAATGACGATGGCGATGACTCGGACACTGTTGAAGACAATTTCACTCGTGTAGTGATCAACAACTGTGTGGGACATTGAACTGGTGTTATTACGTGGGACAAAGCGTTAGGGCAGTACCCCCTTCCCTCCCACCTCCCCGGCTCTAAAGGCTGGGCTGGATGAGCAGGAGAATGCTCTGCCTGCTGGTTCAGCATGGGGCAAGGCACAACCCAGGTGGGAGCGGAGAGCAGGCCTGGGGGCTCAGGGTACAAATGGGTACAGCTGGGGCCTGCAGCAGCCTTTCACATGCTGCCAGCATTGTGTTGGAGTGAAAAGGTATTGCACTACCATTAGTTGTCAGCGCTAAGCAGAAGTCTTCAGAGAATGCTCCCTAACCCATATGCTGTAGCTCTTGAATTGAGATCACCTGTGTATCCCTGCTGTGCCACGTGGAGGCAAGCACCTGTCTAGGCAGCCAGAGGGCATGGATTTAAGAGCCTGCTCTGGGAGGGCTTTTTCACTCCCATGACTAACACCAGAGCCTCAGGAGGCAGCCTCCTGCCAGTGCTGCCTGTGAGTCCCACATTCATTTAAGGAGCAAGGAAATATAAATGACAACATACAAATGGGTTGTTGTTTATTCTGATGCCTGTCCAAGAAAGGTAAGGGCTATGGCTTGGGCTGGGTTTGTACTCCCCTGTCTACCCTTATGGCCCTGTAGTCTCTACACCTGCAATATTATTTACCAAGGCAAGCACATGTTTGTTCTAGAGGGTAAGCAATTATATTTGTTTCAATTTAACATTAAGCCTGCTTGAAAAAAAAATCATTACAAATTGATTTCTACTTCATCAGAGAAGTCTTATCCCAGCCGGTAGATAGATGATTTCAAATCTGGTTTGTTTTTAACTAACCCACCCCTTCTCCAGGCAGTAACTTAAAAAGCAATTTTAGAAATTGTAATAGCTGTACAATATTCTACAACATATATTTAGCAATTAGAGCATACACTTCTAATCAGTGTCATCTCCATAAGTTTCTAAAAGAAGATTTAAAACATCTTAAGTGGAGGTCTTTGCTTTTATCCCCCACAACTATCTGGGAGGCTGCAGATCTCACGTGTTCATCAAGATGCAGAAGTTAGAAATCCTTACCCGCATTGACTGGGACACTCAGTACAATTCCAAGGGAAATCAAGGTGGGGTACGTAATAGCAATTCCGAAATTCAATAGGATATTGAATGCTGAAGAAGGAAAGAAAACCACCTTTTATTACCATGAAACTACACAAAGAGAATGTCACTTGAAATATCTTTGCTTTACTACTCCTGTATGTTTTCCATACAGAAAGCAGGGATCTGCCCAGGATGCTGTTGTTCACAGGGAGTTCTGTCCTCCTGGTGCCAATGGCAGGACCAGGTGAGGTCTGGGCACAACCCATCTCTCAATGTAATGCTTGGTAACACAGGTGGACTCCCAGCTTTCCAGTTTTTTGCACCAATCCACCTGGTCTGGTGGTTGGCAGCCCTGCCCGTGGCAGGGGGCCTGAAACTAGATGATCTTTGAGGCCCTTTTCAACTCAGGCCATTCTATGATTCTATGGTTCTGCTGAAAGGAAATAATTTGCAGGATATTTCTGCCAAACAGTTGCTTATGTCTGGATGTATTCATATATTTATTTATTTCAAGAGCACCTTTTAATGATGGCCTTAATGCTTGGGTTTGCTCATAACAGCAGGAATAGGGTCTGTATTTCCCCCATGACTTACTGAGCTAAAACTTAGAAGAAGAAAACTGGCTCCAGCATGTCAGAGAGCTGTAGCTTCCACCAGTGGCCAGTTTCTTAGTGTGTTCTTCCACCCCAAGCAGCCCGAAGGCTCCCTGTGTACTCACTCAATAAGAGAATCGAAAATCCGCAGAGGTTTCCCCAAGGAACGATGTCAAAAGAGCTCCAGTATTCCACTTTGGTAAAATAAAGGATGACAGGAATACAGGTAACGAAGAGGACATTGAAGACGGCCAACACGGACAGGAATAAGGCAGCTTCTCCAAATTTTGCACTGCCCAGCAGAAGTTTGAATAAAACCTACAAGACAAAGCCACACGGGCTGCTATAAGTCTTGCACTTCCCTGGCAGGCAGGCAGCCTAGCTCCAGCAGCTTCCCACGTCCTGTCTCTGCTTGGGGCAAGGGGACTGTGAAGAGAGCACCTATGCAGCAATGTGGGCCAGACACCTTCCTGTGAGGAGACCCAGTTGTGCTTACCTTGTAGAGAGCAGACATTGAGGCAGAGCCCACCACCAGGGCAATCCCAATAACAGAGTGGCTGTGAAACCCATCAGCGTATGTCATCATCACTATCCCTGCAATAGCAAATATAGCAGCCACGATCTGGTTGGAAACAAACAAAGAAAGCTAGTGTTACTGGACAACCCCCACTGTGGAAAAATGTGAAAGCAGCTTTACGTGAGAGGGTGGTATTTCTGTATCATCTGCCCCTGTCCTGAGGTAGGAAATGAGTATCAACCCAGGTTGGTGCCTGAGGAGCTGACGCTGCCCTCGCAGGCAGTTCCCTTGGCTGGCTGAGCAGCATGCAGCATCCTGTCTTGGACTGAGGTGAAGAGAGGGGTTCATCTCTGCCACAGAGCCTCCCCATCAACGGGTCCTGGCAGCATGTCTGAGACAATAATACACAACTAAGAAACCTCTGGTGCTGCCAGGAAAGGCTCAGAGTCCTGAGGTGGTTTTGGGAGAGAGCACATACACGGCATGTAGCAAACTGCCAGGGCAGAGAGCAGTGGTTGCCCATCTGCACACCTCCTCCCTGAGACCAACCAGCACTGCCTTCCTCACTGACAGTGCCACAGGATCAATGAGCACCAGTAAAACAC